ACCTGACGCTGACGCAGACGCAGCTACCTGAGGGGACTCAGTGGTCAGTGTGTACAGGTCAGACCCCGGCTCTCGAGTGAAAGTAGCTAGGTGGCGGCCCGTCCGAGCACACGTGCAGTGAGTCACACGCTCGTAGGCAGGGGTGAACTGGTGAACACCCCCGTCCTGGAGCGCACTACCTGCCACCAAGTTCGTGGAGAACGAGGGGAGGTAGAGACCTGAGAGCGTGCCGGACGGAACCGCTGGACACGGAAGGGTGGTGGAGGAGGTCGCAAGGACCGGACCCCCAGAGGGGTCAGCAAGAGAGACAGCAACCGGCCGAGCTAGAGGCTCAAGGACAGTGCGGTCACGAAAGAAAGAGCGAGAAGCACCTGAGTCCAGTGTGAAGGTGTGCAGTGCTGCAGTCGACTCAGTACCAGGGGGCACAGACGCACAAGCACCTAGAGCAGCAGCTGCAGTAGTACCTGTGGAAGCAGACACACTAGCACCTAGAGCAGCAGCGGGGCTGGCCTGAATGCCCGGGTCGGGCGGAACACGCAAGTACTGAGCACCCTCTCCACTAATAGACATCGCATACATGGCAGTGAGAATAGCATCAAAGTCTAGTGCCCAAATATCAACACCCTTCCTGAGCAGTTCAGCCCAGCGCGGCAGCTCACCCCCACCAGGAAACTGGGTGCGCCACGCATCGTTGAGGCGGGCGAAGCAGCGCTCCGTCTGGTGCGGCCCCCCACACGTCTGGCCAGTGCGGTCACCTGTACGAATAACGTACTGGCAGGTGACGCTGCGCCGCGCATACCACTCACGGGCGGCCTGAAGGGTCGGGGCAGGCTGCTGACTCTGACCGCCCCCCGGGCCTCCACGACCACCACCTCCTCCGCCTCCGCCCCGGCCACCTCCACCCCTGCCGCTGCCACGACCACCTCCGCCTCCGCTGCCACCTCCGCCCCTGTCACCACTCCCAACGCCGCTGTCACCTCCACCACTGCCGCCACTAGCCTCTCCAGTCGCACCTCCACCGCCACCACCTCCACCCCCGCCTCCTCCGCCACCACCCCCACTCCTGCCACTCCTGCCCCTGCGTCGTCCGCCTGAAGCAGACGCAGCCCCGACCTTCTCAGCACCAAGGAGGTCGACAGCAGCAGCAGAGGCGACAGAGGGGAGGAGGGGGGAAGGGGAGCACCCCTCAAAGAAGGGGCCGCGGGGGTCGCCACGAGAGGTGCCTACAGCGACGATACTAGCCTCGGCTGCAAGCAGTTCCTTCTCGAGGAGGTCTACGGTGAGCTCAGTGGGGGAGCGAGAGAGGAACTGGTCCCTGACAGGGCGCAGAGAGTCAGGGAGGCGGGTGACAACGTGGTAGAGAGTGATCCAGAGCGGGGGGGGGTTGCTAGCGAGGAACTCGTCAGGCATGGCAGCGCGAAAGCGAGCCTCACTAGTCTTAAGGTGGGTGATGAGGTCTGCGACAGTGTGAAAGGAGGCTAGGTCGGGGAACAGGTAGGGGAGAGTGAGGCGGCCTAGCGTGGCAGAAGCGGGTGAGGAGTAGCGGGCCACTACAGCTGTGTAGAGGTCCTTAGCAGTCTTGCACTGGCCGAAGTGCTCGCGCTCATCTAGCGGCAGGGAGTTGCGAATAGCAAAGCGAGCGTGCGCGTCACGGGTCTGCCACTGTGAGCGCTCAGCTGGGGGGGCAGTAGCGAGTGGGGCGGTCGCATGGCCGAGAGCGTGGTCGTACAGTGTAATATCTTCCTTGGCAGTGAGCTGTAGGAAAAGGTGCAGGTCATCTAGCCAGGTTTCGAATTTGACCGGACGGCCCTCGGCGTCGAAAGCTAGAACAGGAGGACTAGCCATAGCGACAGCGGCAGTAGTAGAAGCAGTAAAGTCACTGAAAAGGCGTGCGCAGGGTCAGCGGGGCCGGTGGGGCCTACGGACTGTAGTGGCGCACAAGCAGCAGTAGCAGGAAGTGTAGTAGTAGGATCTGCAGTGGTGCACAGGCGCAGCAGGCGGCAGCGAGAGCCGGCGCAGCAGGGGCGGGCTCAGCAGCGGTGATACGCGGGCGGCGGCGGGCGCAGCAGCGGTGGTGCGCGGGCGGCGGCGGGCTCAGCAGCGGCGGTGCGCGGGCGGCTGCGGGCTCAGCAGCGGCGGGCCGGGAGCAGGCAGCGCGCGGGCCGTGCGGGCCGTATCGAGCTGTGCGGGCAGCGTGCGGGCCGGCGGCGGTCAGCGCACGAGCCGCGCAGGCTCAGCGCGGGCTGCGCGGGCTGCTCGCGGGCTGCGTAAGCGGGTCGCGGGCGGCTCGCGGGGGTTCGCGGGCAGGTCGCGGGCTGCTCGCGGGCAGTTCGCGGGCTGTGCGCGGGCTGCGCGGGCTGGTCGCGGGCTGCGCAGGCGGTTCGCGGGCTGTGCGTGGGCGGTTCGCGGGCTGTGAGCGCGGCGCGCTGTGCGGTTCGCGGGCGGCGTGACGGGGCCGATCGGGGCGCTAAGGGGCGACGCGACGGGGGCCGTGAGAGGCCGCTAGGAAAAAAAAATTCGAAGGGGCCGCAGGGCCGCTAGATCGTGCTAGATCGACGGGGCCAGCGGGGCCGGAAACAAGCGAAGGTAAGCAGGTAGGTAAGTCGGTGGGCCCTAAGAACAGTCCTAGCGAAGGACCTGCTCTGAAACCATGTCAGAAATAACTGAGCAGGAATGAATGAACTAGAACAGAGTTTGGTACAAGTAGGAAACCCTAACTTTGTGTACCCCCTAAGGTGTAACCCACTACAAGCCTCGACAATATAAACATGCAATGTTTGACACTCAATATACACAGTAATATTTTCACCCAACGCTTAGAAAGGCAATCATAAGAACTAGCTTGTAATATTCATTATCACATCAAAACTAAAACTTGGTGCTACATAAATACATTAAATTGGTTATATAGGTTATGTTAGTTTATTGTGTATGATCCTTTATAGCTTCAAAAATGGCAAATCCTACGCAACCCATACGCCGGTAAACGTCGAGCCTTGTTCCAAGTTCCTAAGGATTTGAAACCTACCTTGCAAAAGTATACTGTTGCTTTAAAACCAAGATGTTAAAGGTTAAATGTTAAATTTGTTTTTCTGGTCGTAACCAGTTTAAGGGGTATCCACTCCTAGATGAGCACGTGCTAACCCCTACTTGGGGCTGGCAGAACACGCCTGCACGGGGGTGGGTTCGATCTATCGGAAGTGCCTCTTTCTACTGACTAGGCCACTTCGGGATGCTTTAAAACCAAGATGTGGAGGAAACGAGTGGAACTTTGGTTGGGTGTGGAACAACTGCAGGGATCAGCTCGTATTATTTCTACAAGGGACTCCTTCGAAAGTACATTCGGGCTGCCTAGCGCAGCGTCGTGATTAGGACGTGGTGCAGTTCGCTTCTGATCGTGAATGATTCCCGCGATCACTGGCGATCTACGATTTCCTGAAAGCCACGTCGGGTTTGTGGGGCGATGAGGGCGTTCAATCGATCGCGATCAACACCCCAATGGACTTGATCAATTGCGATCTGTAGATTGGATGGGATTGGAACCTTCTGGCAACACCACAACCCCATGCGACTGTCGCCCGAACCCGCCTATTCAGTCCTTTTTTTTTTCGCCACTGATCTTTGATCCTCTATGAACCACTACCCAGGCAATTTCGTTGTTGTCTGCCAGATAAATGCGGCTAGCTCAGATTCTCGCGTCCCGTTCTATCCTACTCGAATTTGATTGATCGTGCACTATTTCGCACGAACTAAGCGAACCCGTACCACGTCCCGAGCAGCATTTCTAGTATGGCACCTAGCCACCACAACACGTTGGGTCCCGAGGCTCTGTTGCTATTGGTTCGGTAAAAACGTCAAGACGTCGCGTCGCGTAAGATACTAACGGAACTCTCGTTCTTGACCGTATCCTCAACTGTCTCAACACTGTAGCGAGACAAATTGCTGAAGAAAGGGTAACAAGGGAAGTCTTTATGCCTTGGTCCAGCGTGTAGTTGCAACCTGGGCATACGATATGCATCACTAGAAGCAGAACCTGTCTCACCTAATTGCCATTTTATGTAACCTACTTAGATCCAGCCACTCACTTTCATACAATCACGCTAACTTGCTTAGACTTATCTGAATAAAAGCAAAGCCTACACCACCATATCAACCTTAAAGAACAGTGTGCAACAATATGTTGTAAACAAACTGCGCGTAAAAATCCATGGGCCCCGGAGTACAGTAATGCAGGCAATCCCGAGGCGTTTCTTCAAACCAGCTGGTATGCCCATCCGGCCTTAAAGCCATAACCCCCTCCACATCCATATAAATCCCTCCCACCTCCGCCACCAACCGCCTCGCCAGCTCATTTTGCCGCATAAACCCTCCCCAATTGAACGGCAGAATCTCCTTCGGCTGCCGTTCCGCCAACGGGCCTAAATTCTCCGTACAGTTAAAATGCCCCGGGGGAGTGTTCCTGTAGATAATCAGCTTATCTGGAAAATTCCTCCGGACGAATCGCAACGCGCGCCGCACGTCTCTCACATAAGCCTCATCATCAGTGTAATGGGCTCCTCTATTAATCAGGAGCACGTCGGAATCGACCAGGGCGCCGTGTTGAGACCAGGGAACACTTTCTTTGGCCACAAATGTGTCTCCCACTGTGAGCCACCGGTTTGAGGTGAAATGCATGGCGAAGGCACCGGCGTCGCTGCTGCTGCTGCCGTTTGTTCCAATGTCCCCTGCTGCTGCAGCAGCAGCCGTAGCAGCACTGGAAGCACCCGCAGCAGCAGCAGCACCACCGCCGCCTCCGGCAGCAGCAGGATCACCAGCAAAAGCCCCCGGGCACACGTCCTGCGAGGTGTTGAAGAAGTTCATATGGCAGTGCACGTGCGGTTTGTGCTCCACCCACTGATAGCAGATGGTGCGGTTTAAAGCCCACGCAGCGCTCTTCTTCACGTGCCATAGCATGTGGTTGAGAAACGTGGCTGCGAATAGGTTCTGAAGGGAGTCGCCTACTATGTAGACTGTGAATCCCTTGTGCATTCTCCGAGGATCATCCATCCATCTCTCTCCTCCTCCTCCTCCTCCTGCTCCTCCTCCTCCTCCTCCTCCTCCTCCTCCTCCTCCTCCTCCTCCTCCTCCTCCTCCTCCTCCTCCTCCTCCTCCTCCTCCTCCTCCTCCTGCTGCTGCTGCTGCTGCTGCCGCTGCTACCGAGGACGAGTCGTTGCTCCAGAGCCTGTCACGCCTTGTTTCGGCTGCCCGAGCTGCCCGCTTGCAAAAATCCAGCCCGTCGAATTTCTTCCACGCAGGAACCTCCTCGTTTGTATCTTCTGCCCCAGCAGCACCAGCAGAAGCAGCTTCCGGACCTAACACTGCATCTACTACTTTCTTAAGCGCCGCAGACCCACACTTATCCTCCGGGACCAAAAACTCGTACTTAAGTGTTTCTCTTACCGTCCACTTATCCGGACTCGTCCCTTTCAGCACTAGCTCATCAGCTCCCCATGTCGCTTTCCCCTTGCGCTTCTCCACCTGTTTATGATCGCACATGTTCATAAAACCCGTGTATTCCCAGGGTAGAGTGCGAGGCGTGGCGTTAAACACCCACCGACCCTCCCTCAACACACACTCCATCCACTTGTTAAAAAGCAGCACCTGGCGCTTGGTGTGCAAGCGCGTGCCAGGGATATGATCAGAGTAATCAGGAAACAGAGGAGGAGCGTGGGACTTTCCCTCTGTTGTCTGGTTCCCACTCCCCTCTTCACTCACACCCCCTGCTCCTTCCCCTCCTCCTTCCCCTCCCCCTCCTCCTCCTCCCGCCCCACCCTCAGTCTCGTCCTTTTCAGGCGGCACCGTGAGGTTAAACAGCCGCGTTTTGAACGCCCCTGTGCCTCCCTCGGCTTCGGCAATCTTCTCTCTGTGCTCGTCCCACTGCTGCTCGTTCAGCTCGTACCAAGGGGAGGGTTGAGGCCCTTCGTCCTTCTCCGATCCTGGAGAGCTTCGGGTGGGGTGAGTGACAACCACAGCAGGTGGTGGTGGTGGTGCTGCTGCTGCTGTTGCTGCTGCTGGTGGTGATGGTGGTGGTTGTGATGGTGGCGGTGGTGGTGGTGGTGCTGCTGCTGCTGCTGGTGGTGGGGGGGATGGGGAAGGAGATGGGGTTGCAGAGGAGGCAGAAGAAGCTGCAACAGCTGCTGTTCCTCCTCCTGCACCGCCTTCCACCGCTCCCGACCGTTTCACATCGCTGAAGTGTGCGCTCATGATCTCATCAAGTGCCGCCTCCACCAGTTGAAGCCTGCATGACATACTGCCTGACTCTCCTGCTCCCAATGTTCCTGCTGCTCCTGCTGCCTCTGCTGCTGCACCTGGTCCTGCCGCTCCCCCCTCCCCTCCTCCTCCTCCTGCTGCAGAAGCATTAGCTCCAAGATCGCAAGGCACGGCATACCGAACGATCCCTGCTGCTGCAGCCAGCGTGCCAAACCCTTCTGGGTCGACAGCAGAACCTGGGGTGAAAGGGTAAATCAAGACAGGAAGCAAGGAGAAAAGAGAAAGGGGAGTAAGGAGAAAAGGCTCTTTTCTCTTCACTCCTGTGGTAGGAGAAAGAAAAATCTTGGAATCGACTCACAAAGAGCAGCTGTACTGGCCGCAGTACACTTCAAGGAGAGGGGGGGGGGGAAGGTGGGCAGGGAACGGCATACAGAACAGGGAGAAGCGGCAGCAGCACTAGAAGAGAAGGAAGCAGCAGCAGCACTGGCAGGGAAGGAAGCAGCAGCAGCGCTGGCACAGAACAGGGAGCATTGAACGGAACTGGCCAGGCAGAGGTGTTAGCGAGGAGGCGGCACGGCAGCAGCGCGAGCAGGGCAGTGTTGAAGGGCAGGAAGAGGAGCGAGACGAGGGAGAAAACAGAGAAGAGGGCGAAAAGGGAGACGAGCAGTCAGCAGCTAGCAAACGGTGTGGCGAAAGTGAGCCCATAAAGCTGCGAAATCCGTACCGGTATAAAATGTGAGGTAGGTGGAAGTATGAGCGGCATTACCAGCAGCAGGAGCAGTGGTGTTTGGCCGAGGAGGCGGAAGCAGCTCGAGCAGAGCAGCATTGAAGGGCAGGAAGAGGAGCGAGGAGAGGGCGAAAAGGGAGAAGAGAGGTCCGTAGCTAACAAACGGTGGACAAGAGGCTGGAAGTGAGCGGCATTACCAGCAGGAGCAGTGATGTTTAGCGGAGGAGTGGGGAGCAGCTCGAGCAGAGGAGCATTGAAGGGCAGGAAGAGGAGCGAGGAGAGGGCCAGGAGCGGGGTCAGCAGTCAACAAGCAATCAATCACTGGGAGCATGAGTGGAGGGTGGCATTACCAGTAGTAGAGGCAGAGGTGTTGAGGGGAAGAGGAGGCGGAAGCAGTTCGAGCAGAGCAGCATTGAAGGGCAGGAAGAGGAGGGAGGATAGCGCGAGGCTGGAGGGGCCAATGAGAAGGCGAGCTCTATTGAAGAGTTTCTTGACTGGTGTGTGGGTGGGGAGAGGGAGGGGAGAGAGGAAGAAAATGGGAGAGAAGACAGGGGTATATCAAGGAGTGAGGAGAGGGCGAGGCTGGAGGGACCGACGAGAAGAGGAGCTCTGTTCAACAGCTTCTTGACTGGTGTGTGGATGGAGGAGGGAGATGAATGGAGGGGAAGGAAAGCGGGGAGACCATGTGATGAGGCAAGGACGTGAAAGGGCGAGGCTGGAGGGGCCGATGAGAAGACGGGCTCGATTGAACAGCTTCTTGACTGGAGGGGGAAAGGAAGAGGGAGGAGAGGGGAAGAGGGAGGGGAGGGGAAGGGGGAGGGGAAGAGGGAGGGGAGGGGAAGGGGGAGGGGAAGAAGGAGGGGAGGGGAAGGGGGAGGGGAAGAGGGAGGGGAGGGAGGGCAAAGAAAGGGAGAGAAGAGAAGGGCATATGAAGAAGTTCTTAACACTGATAAAAACCACACAATACTAGGAGAACAAAACATCACACTAATCACTGGGTTCTGGAATTACTAATAAAAAAGCACACAGAATCTAAAACCACACAATTAAATGAAATATAATCAAATATCAAATCTCACCGTCGTCCATCCCCATGTGGCCTTGATAGCTCTCCACTCTCTCCGCTCCAAACCTCTCCACCACCACCCTCTCAATCTCCTCTCTTGTCGAGACATCCCAAAACTTTCATAAAGCAGAATTAATTCTCTAAGGTTAAGCCTCACCATCATCCATCCCCATATGGCCTTGATAGCTCTCCACTCTCTCTGCTCCAAACCTCTCCACCACCACCCTCTCAATCTCCTCCCTTTTTGATACGTCTCAGAACTTCAACAAAAGAAGATTGATTCTCACCATCATCCATGCCCATGTGACCCTGATAACTCTCCACTCTCTCCGCTCCAAATCTCTCCACCACCACCCTCTCAATCTCCTCCTCCTCTTCCACCACCACCCCCCCCCTCCCCCCCCGCCTCCCCCTCCACTCTCCCCCACTCCCCCCAGCCCCGTCCGCACCACCACCACCAGCCACTCTCCCCCCGCTGATAGCCCATCCGCGGAAAGAAAGAGGGGCGGGGGGGAGTGGGGTTTGAAGGAGGGGAGGAAGGATGGGAGGCCGTCTGGGGGGAGGAAATGGCGGGCGCGGGCCAGGCGGAGGAGAGAGGGGGAGGGGGAGGCGCAGGAGAGGAATGAGGGCTGCCTGGGGGGAGGGGGGTGTGGGGAAGAGAGGGTGAATAGCAGGAGGAAATGGAAGGTGCGAAGTTAAGGAGGTGAGTGAAAAGGAGGGGAAAGTGAGGGAAAGGAGGGTAGAGTGAGGGGAAAGGAGGGGAGAGTGAGGGGAAAGGAGGGGAGAGTGAGGGGAAAAGGGAGGGCGAAGAACTAAAAGTCAAAGCGGTTCAAAAGTCAACAAGGAAGTGAAAAGCAGCAATTAGAACACTCACGACAAAGAGGAAGTGAGCGAAGAGGGGGTGAGCCTCCCTCGCCCCGTCCCCTCCCCCCTGGCCAAACTTTGGGGGTGTGTGCAGAGCACGTGAGGCAAGGTCGAATCCAAACAGCTGATGGCTCATGATGCGCAGAGACTGGTGGGGGGGGGGAAGATGGGGGGGGGGGGGAGAGCAGTGTGGGGTGAAAGGTGAAGCGGATGAGTAAGGTGTGTGTTTCCCTTGCCTCCCCCACGAGGCAAGGTCGAAGCCAAATAGCTGATGGCTCATGATGCGCAGGGACTGGGGGAGAAGCGGGGGGAGAGGGCGGGGGGATGGTGAGGGGAGAGAACGGGGAAGGGAGAAGTGAAATGCAAATTGCTGATGGATCATGAGGCGAAGGGACTGGGATTGACGGGGATGGGGGTGGGCGTACGGGCGGGAGCTCGCCTCAAAGTGAGTGACTCCCTTTAGTTGGACTTGCACCCACATGGCATTGCATGCATGTACCTGCAAGTACAATTGCTATTACAGACATGGCATGGCGTTGCAAGGCATGCATGCACGTATCTGCGAGTATGGAAGCAGCACGGCATGGCACCATGAACCGCCATGAGTCCTGGCAAAAGCCACTCCACCATCCACCATGTACGTCGCCGCTCTGTCGCATTGTACTCGATACCGCGTGTCTCACTATAACTGTCGAGCTATACTCGCGCCTACATGGCATGCACGTACATACCTGCAAGTATGGCAGCAGCATGGGGTAGTGTTCGAAACCCAGCATGGCATTATGAACCGCCACTAACCCCGGAACAGGCCACTCTACGGTGCTGCTCTCTCGTACTCGATATGACGCGACTCATTGCAACTGTCTAAGCTGGCATACATACCTGCGAGTAGGGCAGCAGCGTGGGCCAGTGTTCGAAACTCGGCATGGCATCATGAACCACCATAAGCCCTGGCAACAGCCACTCCACCAACCACCTACCGTCGCCGCTTTCTTGTGCTGTACTCGATACAGCGGGTCTCACTATAACTGTCTAGCTATACTCGCGTCTACATGGTATGCACGTACGTACCTGCGAGTATGGCAGCACCATGGGGTAATGTTCAAAACTCGGCATGGCGTCATGAACCGCCATAAGTCCCGGTAAAAGCCACTCCACCATCCACCTATAGATCGCCGCTCGTCCGCGCACCGACTCCCCCCTTGCCTCGCGCCCCTCCCCCCGTTCCCCCCCTTCCGCGCCTGCTGCTTCCCCGTGCGCGCGCGCATGCGCGGATGTTCTTATATGGGGGGGAAAGAGGTGCAACACGTGCTCGTATACCACCGCTGTAGTCCCCTTCGGATAAGAGAACTCGCTCGTGGTGCCCTCTCCTGGTTTTCCGGACACGTCGGATCCACGTGGACCCCCGCCAAAGACGAAGCGGTGCGTGCTGTTGAACACGTGGCCGTGAAGATCCACGTACACGTCACGCAGCATGATGACGTGGCCGGGATAAGGAGGCAACACGCAGGACTCAAACTTTCCGCTTCCTCCCGCAGCCCCAGCGGCGGCGGCGGCGGCGGCGGAGCTTGCGCCAGCGGCGGAACTATCGGCGGAACGGTTTTGCGGAGGGCATGTGCGGAACCAAGGGGGGTGCGCGGCGGAAGCTCCCCCCGCGCGGAGCTTCTCAATCGCGGAACCATCCAGGCAATTGGACACGGGGGTAGCGTCAGATAATAGATTAAAGACCATGTTTTCAATGGTCTTTTCCACTGCTGACGTCATCAGCGGTTTGCTCTCGCAGAGCGCGAAATTTCCCGAGCCGCTGCCGAAAGGAGTGGTTCCTTCGCATATGTGGAACTCGGGGCATTTCCCCGCTTTGCAGCCGCCCGATGCGATGCTCTCGATCACGGAAGGATCTGAGCCGTCCAGGTAGATCGGGATGAGATTCTGACACTTGATGTCCTCAGAAATCGCCGTGACTCCACGGTGCTTTTCTCTTATCGGAGCACCAGGTTCGGTCGCGACTGGTCCGGAAGACGACGGTTCTTGTTGGGCTAGCGAGAATATAGCGAAGCAGGCGAGCCACGCTATAACGGAGCACGCGAGAGTCACTGCACGTGACGGGAAGAGAGACCGTGGAAGGATAGTACGCCCTACCATGGCTGCGTTGGAAAATCAGCCAATGTAGAAAAAATAAAGGAAAGAAAATGGGAAAAAAGCAGCCTGAAAGCACGGGGCGATCAAGCGACTATCCGAACTGTCATGACGATCGGCTTGGCGAGAACAGCCGGCGTTGACGGCACGGCAGCCATAAAGTGGCAGTCAATAGTGAGATGTGGGGAGCCCTGACACGCGACAGTCTCTGGTCGGCATAATCTAGGAGCCAAATGCGGAAGTGGTTGGGTGGAATTCTCCGCTTTAAGGCGGACTCTATACAATTGACGCAACAAAAAGTGCCGTGCTGTATAGAATTCATTAAACTCTTTTACCTTCAGGCTACGCAGCCTAAACATCTCTGATTTTACACTATAGAAACACACTGGGATTACTATTTTGCTATAAAAACATGCAAACAATACATGTATTTATGTATGAGTCCCGTTGTGTTTTCTTTGCCATCGCTTGATAGCTTGAAGAGCCAGCACCCGGAACGATCTCACACCAACCAGAAGATCTAGACGCCGAAAATTGGGAGTGGGAGGAGGGAGATGCGTAGGAGCAAGAGAGTATGTGCTAGTGCGAGCGTTCATATCAACCCCTTGTGTCTCATCATCATCATCAGCAGCAGCAGCATCGCCATCCCTGCCACTTGCAAGCGGTGAGGTAGACAACCCGAGATCAATGTACAATCCTGTGGTGGCCCCACCACTGGTCCTGCTATGGTTTTTTTTTTTGCCGATTTGGCTGCTACTGCTGCTGGTAGCGCTGCTGCTTTTGTGGGGAGGCCGCCTGGCAATGTCAAATCGATCCTCTTCCCCTGAGGAACCCCCTGGATTCAAAGCTGCAGCGAACCTCTCTTCAGCTTCTGCTGAATTCACCTGATTTCTCTCCTGCTCATCCACCTGATTCCCCATGTCACCTCCCCTCTGTTCCCCCACCTGATCCTCCACCTGCTCGCCCACCTGGCACTGTTCATCCTGCAACGGGCACTGTAGCGCAACAGCATGGTCGACCTGAAAGAGGCTGGCCCAGCGGCCATAGTCAGAGGCGGGGTTGAGGTTGCGGGCCGGGAGGAGGAAGGGGGTGGGGCGCGCGGGATAGATCTCCAGGACTTGAGCGTGGGGTGTTAACCAGATGAGGTTACTCATGCCTGCTCCTGTGGAGGGAGGGAGGGTGAGAGCGGCGGAGGGAAGGGAGGGGAGTGAGGGAGGGAGGGCGTGTGTGAGGCATGGCACTGTAGCGCAACAGAATGGTCGACCTGAAAGAGGGAGGCCCAGCGGCTATAGTCAGAGGCGGGGTTGAGGTTGCGGGCCGGGAGGAGGAAGGGGGTGGGGTGCGCGGGATAGATTTCTAGGACCTGGGCTAGTGGTGGTAACCAGATGAGGTTACTCATGCCCGCCCCTGCAGGAAGGGTGGGGAGGTGGGGATGGAAGAGAGGCGGGGTTGAGGTTGCGGGCAGGGAGGAGGAAGGGGGTGGGGCGCGCGGGATAGATCTCCAAGACTTGAGCATGGGGTGGTAACCAGATGAGGTTACTCATGCCTGCTCCTGATGGGGGAGGGAGCGGGGTGGGAAGGAGGGAGGGAAGGAGGAAGGGAAGGGATCTGCGGTTGCCTGCCAGCACATCTAGCTGGTGTGCCTGTCGAATCTGCTGCCACACATTGAATCTGCAGTGCTCGAGCCCACATTCGACCCGAGTCAGGTGAGAGCATGCAAGCAGCGGTGTGGGGAACTCACCGTGGCTGCCTGCCAGCACGTCTAGCTGGTGTGCCTCGCGAATCTGCTGACACACTGACAAGCACATGTGTGAAGCAAGGTGCACCCTTACTCTAGAAACACACTCACCGTGACTGCCAGCCAGCACGTCTAGTTGGTGTGCCACTCGAATCTGCTGCCACACGTCGTACTTTTCAAACTGCAGCACTTGAACTTCGAACCCCACGGACTCTGCTGCCCTTACCAGATCTGCTTACAGAGGGGACAGGGGGGAGATGAGGGGATGTAAGAGGGGGGGGAGACTGCTGCCCTTACCAGATCTGCTTACAGAGGGGACAGGGGGGAGATGAGGGGATGTAAGAAGGGGGGGGGAGAAATAAATGGACAGGATGGTCACAAGACTGGGGTTGCGAGAAAGAAATTACTGAATGGGTTGGACTTCTCTTCCAACTCGACTCATCCCTTATCTCCCTATAACATGACGTTTACCCTTCCTTCTTCCTCCTTCCTCCTCTGCCCGCTCCTCCCTCCCATGCCAGCCCCTCCAACCTCTGAAGTCTTCCCCGCAATCTCCAGTCCCCAGCCCCAAGCTCCTTCGAAGGGGATAGCTACTCTGACACCAGCACACCTTCCCCGTGTAAGGCTCACCTGGCAGGTGACAGAGGCGGCGGATTTTTTCCCGAGCGATGATACTCATCAGCGGGCGCGCGGGGAGGGGAGACAACACACATGGTGATGAGATGACGACTATAGCAACAGCTCGGCTCCCTTCTAAGGCTCACCTGGCAGGTGGCAGAGGCGGCGGATTTTTTCCCGAGCGATGATGCCCATCAGAGGCCGCGAAGAGCGCCGAGGTGACGATGCTGACGTGGACAGCGGCGCTGACGTGGCGGATGGGAAAGAAGACGAGGTGGATGAGGTGGCAGACGTTGAAGACAGGGGACTGTGTGGTTCAGAGTCACTGCGGGAGGGAAGGATGATGGGCATGGAAGAGTGGTGGGGTGAGGGGGGAGGTGAAAGGGTTTAGAGGATGGAAGAGGGATGGGGGATTTACGAAAAAAGGCACATTGTTCGCGCGCTTCACCCGTCGCTTTTTTGAATTCTTAAAAGCAGCTCCAGCACGCGTCTCACCTGTCGTTGACAGTGCCCCCTGCAAGGGGCAAGAGCTTGCCGTCTGAACTCCTGAATCGCCTCGCCTTGAGGGCCGGGGGAGACTGCTGGAAGTGAGGCAGGGGGGACCATGCCTATCATTCGGCTCACCTATCATGCCTATCATATGATTCCAGCAAGTGACAGAGCTCGTCGCCTGAACTCCTGAAACGCCTCAATTGGTAGCAAAAGGGCCGCCCCTGCAGCAGAGGGGCGGGGCAGAAGGCCGGAGGCAGACCCAGGAAGGCATGGCGGTAGCAGAGGAAGGGGGAGGAGGGGGGGGCGTTGGGTTTGGGGGTTTGTCCCTCACCTGTCCTCTGTGACCCCAGCAAGCTCCAAAGCCCGTCGCCTGAACTCTTGGTAGGACTCGACCGGCAGCAGCGGGGGCCGTCTTTGCAGCAGTGGGCCGGGGGAGAAGGCGGGGGGCAGACCCAGGAAGGCATGGCGGTAGCAGAGGAAGGGGGAGGAGCGATTGGCTGCTAGCGCTGCCACCTCTGACACGGTTACCAGCGACGAGAGGCGGCGGTGGTGGTGGTGGTGAGGTGGCTTTTGGGATGGCTGCTGCTGAGAAGATAGGCGGCGGCGAGATTTGATTCTCATTAGATCACGCGGCACGTTCTCGATTTGATTCACCTTTTGTCCCCTAGCGTGGGGAAGAGAGTGGGGGACGGAGGGGGGACAACGTGGGAAAGAGGAGGGAAAAGAGGAATGGGGAAGAGGGGAGGAAGGGGAATGGAAGGAAAGAGGAGGCAAGGAAAGAATGGGGAAGATCGGAGGAACAAGGGAAAAAAGGGGAGTGACGGAAAGAGTAGGAAAAAGGAGAAATGGGCAAGCGACGAGGAACGGAAGGGGAGGAAGGGGAGTAGAAGGGAAAGAGGAACCGTAGAGGGAATGGAAAAGGAGGAAGATGGTGGAGGGAACAACCACACAAAACACCTGAAGAAACACCTGAGCAACACACCTGATAGAGGGTGACGCCTGGAGGGGCGGCAGCAGCGAGCAGAGGCCACCAGGGGAAGTGGCGAGTGGAGTAGTAATCAGGGGGGGGTACGGAAATGCCAGCAGCAGCGATGTGCGCGTGGTGTGGTGGGCATCATGCACAGCACATGGGCAACACACACCTGATAGAGGGTGATGCCTGGAGGAGCAGTAGCAGTGAGCAGAGGCCACCAGGGGAAGTGGCGAGTGGAGTAGTAGTCACAGGGGGTACAGAGATGGCTGCAGCAGCGATGTGCGCATGGTGTGGTGGGCATCATGCACATGGGCAACACACACCTGGTAGAGGGTGATGCCTGGAGGGGCGGTAGCAGCGAGCAGAGGCCACCAGGGGAAGTGGCGAGTGGAGTAGTAGTCAGGGGGGGGCACGGAAATGCCAGCAGCAGCGATGTGCGCATTGTCACGAGCATGAATGCCGTGCACATCTGCGTCTTGCATATGTGTGACTGCATCTCTCATGCCCTCCCCGTGTATGCGGGAGGCGTGGGCTAGCATGCCTTCGACACCCCTGGCGAGGCAGGGGAAGAGGTGCGCTGTGTTGCGCAGGGCGTGGTGCTGCGAGGCGAGGAGCTGAGGGGAAAAGAGCAAGGGGAGGGCACAGCGAGACAGGCAGGAGAGGATTGAAACGGGTATGGTGTAAGCTAACATGCCCTCGACCCCCCTGGCAAGGCAGGGGAAGAGGTGTGCTGTACTGTTGCGCAGGGCGTGGCGCTGAGAGGCGAGGAGCTGGGAGGAAGGAGGGAGGGGGAGGGGACATCACAGAGGGAGGGGGGAGGAGGGGGACGGGGAAAGCATGAAGGAGTGTGCTTCCGTCCTCCCTGGCCAGGCAGGGGAAAAGGTGCGCTGTGCTGTTGCGCAGGGCGTGGCGCTGAGAGGCGAGGAGCCGAGGGGAAAAGGGGCGTGGGGAGAAAAGAGAGGGAATTGGGAGGAGGGAGATGGGATGGTGTAGGTGAGAGAAAGAGCATGCCTTCAGTTCCCCTGGCCAGGCAGGGTAAGTGTGAGAGGTCATGCCTTCAACCCCCCTGGCCAGGCAGGGAAAGAGGTGGGCTGTGCTGTTGCGCAGGGCGTGACACTGAGAGGAGAGGAGCTGGGAGGGGGTTTGGGGAGATGACAGAGGGACAGGGGAGGAGAGAAGGGAAATGAGCATGCCTTTGAGACAGGGGGGTCAGAGTCTCTCCGTCTTTGACGCTGCAGCAAGTTTTTTAGAATTCTCAAAAATACCCTGCAGCAGCGGGAGGAGAGCAGGGAAATAAGCATGCCTTTGAGACAGGGGGGTCAAAGTCTCTCCGTCTTTGACCCCCCTGGCCAGGCAGGAGAAGAGACGAGCTGGGCATGTGGTTGTAGGGATACTCCCGTCACTCACTCACGCACTCACTCACACACTCACTCACGCACTCACTCACACACTCACTCACGCACTCACTCCCTGACTCCCGCACTCACGCACTCACTCCCTGACTCCCTGACTCCCCCACTCACTCTCTGTCCCTCACTCACTACATCAAGCAATCATTCACCCACATGAGACAGAGGGATGACGTGGTGCAGAAAATGCCACGGATTGCCGGCCGTCAGCGGCATGATGACAGCTGTAGCGTCCTCGATCCACCCGCTGTGCCCCCTCTTGCCTCGTGGCAGCTTGTCATTGGTGTAGGTGACTGGGAAGGTGAAACAGCCTGCCTCGTTGCATAGGGGTAAACCATCACCATCGCCCTACCAGTGGGGGAAAGAAAGGAGAATGAAAAGTGTGGGAGAGACGGCAGGGGGAACAAAAAGAGGGGAAGTGTTGGAGGGGTTGGGGGGAGGAAGGGAAGAAAAATACTAACTAATGCCATGGCTAATAAGCAGCATATACTAACCGGCATGTGCTTTACCCCGTACAAGCTACCTCCTCCCTTGAACCGCGCATGCATGCACATGTTACCTTGCTCGTAGCACAACTTCCTTCGAACACATGTATGCATTACAAGCAACTCGCAAATCCCACTAGCTTCTACGCTCTGGAACGTCATTTACTCCATAAAGAGTAACTCCTCCGTTGAACCACGTGCGTACGCTTGTACGCTCCTCCTCTTCCTTTCAATCATAGTGTCACTCCCACTAGTTCTGACCACTCACAGGCACGTCCTCTACTCGGTGCAAGGTCACCCCTCCCTTGAACCGCGCATGTATGCACACGTTTTCCAGCTCGTATGCTCCGCCCCCTTCCACTCGCCGCACAGAGGACCGCCGTGGCACCTGCTGCTTGCTGTAGTGCGTGGCGTCAGAAACTGGGAAGCATGTGGGGAAGAAGGGACGCGGGGGGGATAGGGGATCTTATGACAAGGAACGGACTGTTCTCCAGCTCGTATGCTCCGCCCCCTTCCACTCGCCTCACTGCGGACCGCCGTGGCACCTGCTTCTTGCTGTAGTATGTGGTGTCGGACACTGGGAGGGGAAGGGGTAGTGGTGGGGGATGGGAGTAGGGAAAAAAACAGGCGAGTCTAAAAATTAAAGCTCCCACATAGTGCATGCACTGCACCTGCACCCTCCTCTCCACTTGTCTCGCAGCCAACTGCTATGGCACCTGCTGCTCGCTGTAGTGCGTGGCGTCAGAGACTCGGCGGGAAAGAGGGGGAGAGGCACGCAAAGCTCTCTAACTGCAGATTCGTCGAACTGCCTGACAGCTTTGGAGACATGCCCGATCTGAAAGCGCTCAAATTCAAAGTTCCTGACTCATGCAGCCAACTAAGTCTCTCGAGACGCTGGTCGTTACACAGTGTGCGTCACTAGTCTAGTAACTCGATTAGAGACGCGCACTCTGAAACGACCGGTGTCTCTAGAGACTTCAGCCAGCTGCACGAGTCCGGGAAAAAGAGATTGAGCTCGAGTCTGTCTAGCACGAGCGTTTTCAGGTCGGGCATGTCTCTAGAGCTGCCAGGCAGTTCTTAAGATGATTCTGCAAGCACTTACGAAAAGACCGCTTCTCAGAGGCACTTATGCAGTGTTTGTATCCCACGTTGTTGCAGGGTTATTTTTAAAAGCTTCCAAAATATTAAGCAACGGAAAGACCACTTCCCAATTGCACTTACGGAAAGACTGCTTCTCAGAGGCACTTACGCAGAGTTCGTAATCCGCGATGCCGTACTCTCAGAGGCGGTGGCTCCTGAGCTGGATCTGACGTGGCATCCCTCGAGTCCACGTCAGCGTGCGTCTCGAAGTAGAGGGAGGGATTGGCCGAGGTAGTCGTCGTTCCGGCCGCAGATAAGGCCAGCTGTGGACGCGTGCGAAGCTGACACGTGGCACGAGAGCAGGAGGAGGCAGACGAGTCCACGTGTACACGTCCACTGGGACCGTCCGATCATCGCGACGGAGACGAGAGGAGACTAATTGACTAATATAAGTAGGCGGACTAGAGACAAGTCGACGTGTGAAGAAAGATGCAATGACGAGCATACTTGCGTTCTAGGGACAGGACAACCTCGAGGTAGCCGCAGGCTACTCTATAATCGTTCATGTCATTGCGACAGCGATGGCCCACGGTCTAGGCGACAGCGATGTTTTCCGGCGATAATACAACGAGAAACGGCGATAACACCGCGAGAAACGGCGGTAATACCGTGAAATGGACGGCTGTCTAGAGACCTTTTCGCCGTGGCCGACAGAGCTTGTCTTCCTTCCCGCCAAGAAAACCGAAACAAAGCGTCGGCTGACGTGGCGCTAGCATAGGGTTACCGAGACTAATCGTCTTCACGGGATTATCTAGGTGAAGCTCTCGAAGCGCGGTAATAACTGTGATTATTTTCAGCCGAGTGCGGTGTAAATAAACCGTTAGGTTTTGTGTTCAACTGAGGCTATGAACAGTTTTCCGCGATACAATGCGTGGTTGTAGGTGTCTCGGTAACAGCACGACCCTTGCATCAGTTGCACTGTACTGCACGATCTCTTCTATACAGAACCAGCTAGATCAGTGTAAGGCTGATCAGTTGCACTGCAATTAGCAGCATAAGTCACGAGAACAGTGTAAGGATGGTTATCTTTTGTTAATCAATTACGATTTGTTACTCAAAGCCAGATTTCATCAACTCTCTTGAAGCCATTGGTGTCCTGTTGAGGGATGAGGGCAAGGAAACCGTAGGAAAGAATGAGGCAGATAAGGGGAGCGAATGCATCACACGATTGTTTCTGCAACAAAACAGTGGAAACACAACGAAAATAGCCAGAAGAAGAAAACAGCACATAATTTCCATGCCAGTCTCCTTACCAAGAATTTCGTCTGCCGTGATTCTCAGGGCGGGGTCTTTTGTCAGCATGCGCAACACCAGATCCTTAGCTTCGTCAGACACGCTCTCCCACACTCCCTCTCTCTCCACCTCCTCCTCAACACTCTTCTCCAATATCGCCCGAAACACTCCCTCGTCAGAGTCCCCCCAAAAGGGAAGCGCTCCTGATAAAAGGACGAACAGGATCACTCCGGCGGCCCAGATGTCGGATTCTGGACCGTAGGATTCATGGAGAACCTCTGGGGCGATGTAGAATGGCGAGCCTACGATCTCAGAAAAGCGTTCGCCTGGGTTTTGGGGAGTTGAAAAGGGGAAAGAAGGAAGGGGGAAGTTCAGGTTACGGGTTGGGGTTTGAGAGAAGCGATGTAGAATGGCGAGCCCACGATCTCAGAAAAACGTTCACCTGGGTTTTTGGGGTATGATTTAAGAGGAAAGCAGAGGGGAGAGGGAGAGGGACGGGGGAGGGGAGGGGGGAATTAAGGTTTGTATGTATGTGGTGGGTGTCGGCCCAGATTTATTACATAGCACCGCTCTAAAAAAGCGGTACAGCGAGACCTGTGATCCCACCCACCCGACATGTGATCCCACCCACCCGACATGTGATCCCACCCACCCGACATGTGATCCCACCCACCCGACATGTGATCCCACCCACCCGACATGTGATCCCACCCACCCGACATGTGATCCCACCCACCCGACATGTGATCCCACCCACCCACCCACCCAGATGTGATCCCCTCACCATCTGTAGGTTGCATGGTACCCCTCTCAACACCTCGACATTCCCATGCACGCACAATGTTCTGGGCATGTGGTCCCCTTAACCATGTGTTGCATAGCACCGCTCTCAACACCTCAGCATCCCCACCCACCCACCTGGATTGAAGAACACGGAAACCCCATAGTCAATAACTGCAATGTCCACGTCATCATCATCCCCCCTTAGAAGCACATTCTCCGGCTTCACATCCCGATGCATGATGCCCTGGGCGTGCAGGTCCCTCAGCAGTCCCACCAGCCGCCCCACCACTGCTGCTGCCTCTCTTTCCCCGTACGGCCCCCCCTGCTGCACGCGTTGCCACAGGTCCCCCCCTTGACACAAATCTATCACCAAATGCACGTGCTGAGGAGGGGTAAGGGTGGAGGGTACGAGACAGAAAGAAAGGTGTAAGAGAGTGTGAGCATGATGCCCTGCGCGTGCAGGTCCCTCAGCAGTCCCACCAGCCGCCCCACCACTGCAGCCGCCTCTGCTTCACCGTATGCTCCCCGCTGCTGCACGCGCTGCCACACGTCCCCCCCTTGACACAAATCCATCACCAGATGAACATGCTGCAGAGGGGCAGATGGAGGGGAGAGGAAAGGGGTGGGTAAGAGGAGAGGCGGAACGCCCACACCAGATGAACGTGCTGCAGGGAGCAGGGCAGGGATGGGAGGACGAGAGGGTAGAGAAGGGTATAAGGGTGTGAGCATGATGCCCTGCGCGTGCAGGTCCCTCAGCAGTCCCACCAGCCGCCCCACCACTGCTGCTGCCTCCCTCTCGTTGTATGGCCCTCTTTGCTGCACCCGCTGCCACAAGTCCCCCCCACATAGCACTCTCCTCTCCTCCTCTCCTCCTCTCCTCCTCTCCTCCTCTCCTCCTCTCCTCCTCTCCTCCTCTCCTCTCCTTCCCTCCTCCTCTCACCTCCGCGTCTTCAAACACCCCCTGCAGCTGCACCGAGCAGGAATGCCCTCTCACTAAGTCTAACTCCCTCCTCATGCCCCCCGCTTCCTTACATTCTCACCTTACCCTCCCCTCATCCCTCCCAAACCCCTCACCTCCGCGTCTTCAAACACCCCCTGCAGCTGCACCGAGCAGGAATGCCCTCTCACTAAGTCTAACTCCCTCCTCATGCCCCCCGCTTCCTTACATTCTCACCTTACCCTCCCCTCATCCCTCCCAAACCCCTCACCTCCGCGTCTTCAAACACCCCCTGCAGCTGCACCGAGCAGGAATGCCCTCTCACTAAGTCTAACTCCCTCCTCATGCCCCCCGCTTCCTTACATTCTCACCTTACCCTCCCCTCATCCCTCCCAAACCCCTCACCTCCGCGTCTTCAAAAACCCCCTGCAGCTGCACCGAGCAGGAATGCCCTCTCACTAAGTCTAACTCCCTCCTCAAGCCCCCCGCTTCCTTACATTCTCACCTTACCCTCCCCTCATCCCTCCCAAACCCCTCACCTCCGCGTCTTCAAACACCCCCTGCAGCTGCACCGAGCAGGGGTGCCCTCTCACCGCTTCCAACACCTCCACCTCCCTCCGCACATCCTCTGCCTCCTCTTCGCTCTGCAAAGCAAGAATTCACAAAAGTAAGGAGCCGATATAAAATGGCACAGAACTCCAAACGTGTAGAGAGGGTGTTTTTTGGGACGTCACAAAAATAAGGAGCCGACATGCTGCAGAACTCCAAACGCATCTCAACAAAGAGTGGTCACACATTGTGTTTCAAATATAAGGAAAAAGCAAGCCATTCATATGGCCTTACAGGAAAATTTCGGCCTACTTCATCCCCACTTTTTTTCCTTCCTCCCCATCCCCTTTCCGAACCTCCCCATCCCCTCCTTCCTTACAACCGTATTTTTATGTTCCCCGTGCCTTGCGAAACCCTCATACCTGTATTTTGCCCTTGGGAATTGTTTTGCACGCGAACACTTCGTTGCTCCTCCGATGCACACACTGCCTAATGCTGCCCGATCGCCCCCTCCCTATCTCCAACCCTCCTTTCCCCCTTCTCCCCAACCTCATAACAACACATCATACCTGTATCTTTCCCTTGGGGATTGTTTTGCACGCATAAACTTCGTTGCTCCTCCGATGGACACACTGCCTGATGCTGCCAAACTGGCCCCTTCCCTCCAAACCCCTCCCGCACCCCTCATACCTGTATCTTTCCCTTGGGAATTGTTTTGCACTTCGTTGCTCCTCCGATGGACACACTGCCTGATGCTGCCAAACTGGCCCCTTTCCTCCAAACCTCTCCCGCACCCCTCGTACCTGTATTTTCCCCTTGGGGATCGTTTTGCACGCGAACACTTCGTTGCTCCTCCGATGCACACACTGCCTGATGCTGCCCGATCGCCCCCTCCCCATCTCCAACCCTCCCCCTCCTTCCTCGTACCTGTATTTTCCCCTTGGGGATTGTTTTGCACGCATAGACTTCGTTACTCCTCCGATGCACACACTGCCTGATGCTGCCTGAACGGCCCCTCCCTATCTCCGCTGTACTCAGTAAGAACTGCTCCGTTATATCCTCAAACGGCCGTCCCAGCACGCTCAAGGCACCAGAAGGAACATCAACAGCAGTGAAAGCAGCAGTGTCCCCTGTCCCCCCTACTCCTCCCCCTGCTCCCCTTATGCCCCCCCCTGCTCCACCTCCTTTTCCTACAGCAGGACCAAGGGGCGATCCCCCTCGTCCTGCTCCCCCTCCTCCCCTCATCCCCCCTCCTCCCCCCACGGCCCTTTCCCCCCAACTCCCCCCAGCTTGGCTCGGGGAAATGGGGGATTGGGGGAGGATGGGGGGTGAGGGGAGCGAGGGGAGTGAGGGGGGGGCTTTGAAGGGGAGTGCGAGTGAGAAAGTGAGTGAGGATGGGACTTGGGAGAAGAAACGGAGTGAGGGTGAGATTGAGAGTGGGCTCTGGGGGAAGAAACGGAGTGAGTGTGGGGGTGAGGGTGGGGTTTGGGAGGGGAAGGGGAGTGGGACTGGGAGCGAGAGTGTCGGTGAGGGGGAAGAGGAGAAGAGTGTTGCTGTGACGGTTGAGACCCACTCCCTGGACGAATGGGGGAATGGGGGGGCGGTAAACGAGCACCAGTGTTACCACCAGTGTGGTAACCAGCAACAGCACCACCACCCGCACCACCAAAACCAGCAGCAGCAGCAGCACCAAAACCGGGATCAAAACTTGCAACAGCAGAAAATCCCGCAAATGCGCCACCACCACCAGCACCCCCAGCACCCCCAGCAGCAGCACTGGCAGACATTGTTCTCTTATGTCGTGACATGCCTTGTGCTGCCGCCCCTCTTCCCCCTCCGCCCCCTGCTCCAACCCCCCCTGCTACACCCCTCGCTCCTCTCCCTCCTCCCCCTCCTTCCCCTCCCCATCCCCCTCCTAACCCCCCTCCTCCTCTCCCTCCTCCCACGTGACTATAATGAGGGTGAAGTTTGGAGGGGCTGGGGCCGGTATAACTCTTGGTGCTTATAATGGGCTGCCCTCCCAGTTCCTTAGCACTGCCACCAGCAGCCGCAGCAGCAGCAGCAGCAGCAGCTGTTTGCCGAGCCTGCAGGTTTGGCCGGGCGGTGGAGGATCGGAAAAGCTCCTGGTGGCCCTCCTCTGCCTCGTATTGCTGCTCCTGCCACGCTGCCTGCTGCCATTCCTGCCCCTGCCCCTGCCCCTGCCCCTGCCCCTGCCCCTGCCCCTGCCCCTGCCCCTGCCCCTGCCCCTGCCCCTGCCCCTGCCCCTGCCCCTGCCCCTGCCCCTGCCCCTGCCCCTGCCCCTGCCCCTGCTGCTGCCCCTGCTGCCCCTGCTGCTGCTGCTGGTTGTACCGTTGTTGCTGCTGTTGCTGCTGTTGCTGCTGCTGCTGTGCAAACCCCATGGGTTGTTGTGGGGACACCATAGGCTGCCCCAGGTCAGAGGAAAAGCCGCCCACTCCCGCCATTCCCATGGAATGACTCCTCCTGTGACCCACACGCCCCTGCTGCCCCTGCTGCTGCCCCTGCTGCCCCTGCTGCCCCTGCGATTGGTGGTACGGTTGCTGCTGCTGCCCCTGCTGCTGTGGCATCTGTTGCCCCTGCAAACTCGCCTGCTTCTCCCTCTCCTTCTGCATCGCCTGTTCATTTTGCTGGTGCCTTCGCTTCAGCATCAGCTGATGCTCACTCAACTGCTGCTGCTGCTGCTGCTGCTGCTGCTGCTGCTGCTGCCGCTGCTGTTGGCCCATATCGTCCATCCCTTCTCCTGGAATCTTGAACCCTGCGTTACCCGCACCCCATTGCACAGGAACAGGGGAAACAGGAGCAACGGGAACGTCATCATCGTCCCCTTCCTCTCCTGGAAGCACTCTCCCATCCACCACTTCTTCTCCCTCCTCCTCTCCTCTCCTCCTCCTCTCCTCCCCCCTCCCTTCCTCCCTCCTCCTCTCCTCCCTCCTCCACACCCACCCTCTCCTCCAGCACTCCATCTCCCATCATACCGTTTCCTTCCCCTCCACCTCTTGCTCCCCCCAATCCCTCCCCTCCTCCGCCTCTTCCCCCAACCCAGCCCCTGCCTCCGCCTCTTCCCCCTCCCCCCACCCCGCCTGTTTCCCCCACGAACCCGCCTCTCCCCATTTGCCCCGTGCTAGGTCTCCGCATCCGCCCCCCCTGCCCCTGCCCCTGACCCTGCGCCTGCCCCTGCGCCTGTTCCGCCTGATAGTTTCCCCCCGCCCACCCTTCCCCGCCCCCTCCTCCGGAAAACCCCCAGCCCCCTCCCCCAGGCCCCTGCAAGCTGTGACTGCGCCTGTGACCCTGCCCCCCGCGCCCTCCCCCTGCGCCTCGTCCCCCTCCGCCTCCGCCTCCCCCTCCCCCAGAGAATCCGCCCCCAAGGCTTCCGCCGTGCAGGGGGGAAAGGAGGGCGGAAGCTTGGCCTGAAGCTTCATTCCCACTTCCGTACTTCCCGGAATTGCCATCCTGGTGTTGCAGCAAGAAATTCTCGTTACTATCCTCCTCGTTATCATCCCCATGCTCGCGGATTTGTCCAAGGGGAGACTGCGCGCCCCTTTCCCTCCCGCTGCCCTGCCCTCGCGCTGCTCCCCCACGCCCCAACCCTCCCCCGGCCAATCCCCCCCCTCCCGCATTTCCCCCCAAGCCATTGCCATAGCCACTGTTACTGTAATTACTGTTACTATAACCAGTGCTACTGTAAGTGTTACTATTGGAAAGGTCCATGGACCGATGCCTCAGAGGATGGGTGGGGATCGGTTTGGAAGGGTCTGAGAAGGAGGAGGGGATTGGCGCGGGGATCCTCCCCCCGTCAAGGGACGCGCGCCTTTCCACCCCCTCAAGGGGAGCGCCTCTTCCGCCGCCGTCAAGGGAGGCGCGCCGTACCCCCCCTGCAGACGATAACATCCTCTGCGCGCCCGCAGGCCCGCTCCCCCTCACCCCAACAGCTCCCCCAGCCCCCCTTCCGCCCGCATTCCCGCCCCCACCTCCCCCGCCGGCTCCCCACGCTCCTGTTCCACCATCCCCGCCTCCAAACCCGGTTCCGCCTCCCCCTTCCCCGTCCGCCCCCTCCCCCGATCTGTTCCCCCCATCCCCTCCGCGGAAGTCCGTTTCCTGGAGGAACTGCGCGGAGTCCGCGGGGAAGGCGGACTTGGTGCGCCGATGGCGCGAGGGCTTTGCGACAGGCGCGGCAACCATAGCTGCTAAGTCCTCTGGCGGCAAATCCGCGTCGTCCTCTCTCCGTAGTATATTAACGGACGGTCCTGAAAACATCTCCCACACCCTCCCGCCGGATTTTATAAACTTAGGCTTAAATCGAGGGTCAATACTGTCTAAATTTCCCCCCCTGCCGTCCGCCTCCTGGCTTCCTCCGCCTACGCCTCTAGTTTCCCCCGCCGCTCCGCCTTTCCCCCTCGGACCTTCCCCTGGGCCGCTTACTCCTCCGCCCGCGTCTCCCCCTCTTCCGCGCCCGTCCAGATCGCCTCCGACTCTCCCCTGCGCTCCCGCCTCCCCTCTACCCCCTGGTGCAGGCGGATGCGCGCCTCTCCCCGCTCCCGCGGGCCCTGGCGGAAACTGTCCCGGCGGTCCCATCTGCGCGAGGAAATCAGGCGCAATCCCCCCCATTCCCATAGCCCCCATTCCCATGGATCGCGATCGGCGGTGGTTACCACCGTGGTTACTCGCGACGCCCATGTGGTTACCTGCATGGTTACCAGCGACGTTCGGGTGGTTACCAGGGAATGCGATAACGGGGGCGACGGGAACGTTGTCGCCATGGTCCCACGGAAGCTCTTCCGGTTGTGCGTGTGCTGCTGCTGCGGCGGCGGCGGCGGCGGCGGCGGGTACTGCGGAGACATTTGTGGCGGGTATTGCGGGAATTGCGCCGACAAAGGCGACTGCTGGAACTGCGACTGTTGCTGCTGCGGCGCGTACTCGTTCCATGTGTTGCGGGTGTCGTGCTGGCTTGCCGGCCTCCGTTGCACGTGATGATGACTCATGACGGCGAATATTGTCGGCTTCTGAGGCGGCTCAGTACAAGATTAATCCGTGGTGATAGAGGCGGATTATTAGGTGCCTAAAGAACAGATAACTAGTGCAAACAGAGAGCCGAGCAAGGATCGGCGCGACGTTACCGGAGTTCTATCTTTTCTCAACGCGCCTCGATTAAAACAATGATACGACGTACCATGGTTGTGACGTCAAGATCGACCGTCAGATGGGATAGGAGCTCGACGGCTAGCGGGTTAGAACCGTTAGAAGTTTTGACGCCTACCCGTTCGTCAACTCGGACTGAGCCTTCACGGCTTTAGTCTATCTTGCCGTGGTCAATCGGCAAAGTGTCAATAAAAAATGGCATAAGAATGTATAACTAAGACGTGAAACTAAAACGCGTCGGTAAAATGTGTCAGTTAAAGTGCCGTAGCCTCAACCAATGGATCCTAGCACAGCTTCAGACCCAAAGCAGCAGCTTCAGGCCGAGTCTACTTTCTAGGTGTTCAGATAAATACGTGAAACGCCTACTGAACATTATGGCATAGCTGCTCGTCATAAGTGCAGAACTTCATGATCAGCCAGAACCGCGCCAGAGCACCTGAGAAACGTGAAATATTCAGCCACCACCGCCTTCTTTCCAAAAAGGACGAACAGCCTTCCTCCCCGAGAAAGTCTGAGGAACCTGGAGGTGCTGAAGAGCAGGCTCCAATGCACAGCACAGCACACCACAAGCAAGCAACGGCTGAGCCCCAGCACAAAGAAACGCAAGTGGTGGAGTGAAGTGAAGCCAACAACTGAGGAAAAGGCCTGAAGGGAAGGCCTGAGGCCTGAGTGTGACAAAATGTAGAGATATTGCACCCGACCTAGCTGAACCGAGCATTCACACTAGTCGGGGATGTTTGAAAGCCAAGGCCGGGTTTGGCAGGCATAAAAAGAGGGGGCGAGGGGGATGGGCTACAGTGAACCGACCACCCTGGAACCTTCTCTTATAAGCGCGTGAAAGGCTATCAAGGCTCGATATAAGCGGACTACGCCGAACCTAACAATAATGGAATGCCAACCAAACACCCCTTTTTTTGGAGGCGTTTTCAACCGGAATCTACACCCAACCCATTTTCTCTGGCAAAGTGCCCATTTTCCGATCCCCCGCACCATGCGGACTCGAGGCCCCGCACTATGCGGGGTATCAGTGATTCGGGGCAATTGAAAGTGACTGGTCAAATATGCCAGCCAATCACATGATCACGCGATCGATCATAGCAACTGCCTCCCATCTTCTGCGAAACCCTAAATGTCGATTGATGCCATCAATCTACACCCAAATAATGCCAACCAAACACACTCAACCCCTCTTTTTCCTAATGTGCTCTGCAGCTACGATTTGACTTCGAAGCTGTTTCGTGAAATGCCCAGGCGGCATTTTTTGGGGGCCCGTTGAAAATACCCATTATGGCCATAATGGCCATAATGCCTGCCAAACCCGGCCCAAGAAGCAGGAAACAAAATCGATAGACTCCGGCTGGGTACAGTACGGTGGGAGTTTGTCCTCAATAGATTCCGGCTGTCAAGAGCGTTCCTTGTGCATTGGTTGGTGGTTGGGCCCCTGGGAGTGCTGGCTGTAGATTCGCCCCTCGAAAGTGTCGCATCGCATGTCGTTCCTGCCATTGCCGCGATTGGGCCATTAAAGTCTCTGGGTTGAAGCCCAGCCACACAATCGGGCTGCGAACATGGCGGGAAAATGGGAGCACAACAAAGTGTGGTGCTTCGGTATTGAAAGCACATCTGATGCGTTAAAAGAACTCGACTGTATTTAGGAGCAGCACATTTGCCTAAACACCCTGCAGTGATGTCCGCATGACGGAAGGTACCTACCGCAACATGTCTCTTCTTTAGTGAGCTGGCCAACCTGCATTTAAAAGGGGGATGTGGATATAACATATACATTAAGAACAAGCATTTAAACGAGTGTTCATTAGTTGTCGTCGTCATCATCATCACTACCGTATGCTCCAAGCCCTAAGCCAACAACAGATCCTCCATCCCCTTTCTCATCCACACCCCCACTTTGCCTACCATCCCCCTTCTGCCTTGTTGCCTCTCCTTCAGAAGAATCGGCTTTAGAAGCACCGGTAGCCCTAGAATCAGCCGCTTTATCCGGAGCTCCTCCAGACTTAGCTTTCGGCTTCGCTTTAAGCTGAACCTTCACACCCAGACGAGGCATGAGTGGAAGATCGGGCTCCTTTCTTTTACGAATAGCTGCCACTATAGAAGAAGCGGAAGAGCCAGGAGCACCAGCTGCTTGTGCTGTGGCCGTGTCAGGTGTGGCATGAGTGGCATGAGAATCAACGGTGACTGTTCGGCTCAGGAGAGCGGCCTGGATGATCATTGATCGTCCACAACGGGGTGTGATGGAAACGAGAAAGAACAACAAGTTGTCACAGGAGGCGAAGGTCACATAGCCTTGCATGATAAAACACATGAGAAAACTCATGAGAGAGGAAATTAGGGATAAAAAAACAGTGCACTCACTATGACCATTTTTCAGTCGACTCGATGGCCAGGATAGCACAGAGGAAAGACACACTTGGTGAAGAGCACACACTCGGCCCATGCGGATGCAAGCTGACGTTTAGAGTACGAGAAATTATGCACACACCTGAAACTCTGAAAGTGCATGCTTGTCTTCATCGTCCTTCTCCTTCTCGTCCTCCTTCTTCTATGTGGTGTCACACTTGAGAATTCTCAAAAGTCACACTAAGAGTACGAGAGTGAGACACACACCTGGAACTCTGAAAGTGCACGCTTGTCTTCATCGTCCTTCTCCTTCTCGTCCTCCCTCTTCTTCTGCAAGCCACATAAGAAAGCCATTTAAAGCCAATTCAGTAGCGCACTTTCATTTGCAGCCATATTCAAGTCAGTTCAGTAGCGCACATTCATTTGCACAAGTCGCATCGCATGTGCTTCTCCTTCTCAATTTCCCCAGTGCAGGCCTTCTGACAGCCGCTAAATGAACACCCATAACCTAGCTGTGGAATTACCTCCAATACGGCTGTGGTGTTGCACTGAGTCACTGACCGACATGAATCTGAGAGTCAGCACCTATCTGCTGCTCTGCTGTGCGGTTCTGATGGGTTAAGATGAGTCACTGACTGACCTGCTCCACAGCTTCGAGAAACTCCAGCTCGTCCTCATCCAATGCCCTTGGTGGGCCTGATGGGGTCACACACAGCATAACAGAGCACAGCACCACACATCACCGCAAAGCACAGCACATAAGAGCACAGCAGAGCACAGAACCACACCACCACATTGCATGGCACAGCACAGCGCAAAAGAAGAAGCACAGAAGCATAGCTCAGTCAGGTTGCAAAACGTAGCAAGCGTGAGAGCAAAGGAGCCCAATGAGCAAACTAGCATTCTTCTATTTCACATAAGCAGTCAAGCAAATAGGCAGTCAAGCTTGATGTGCTACGCGTGGTTGAGCTGTCATTTTGATACAATTTCTGGTTACAATCTGTCCAGCCCTGGTTACAATTCCCCCAAAAGAGTTTGGCTTACGGTTTTTGAATTTCTCCTTGTGCTCCGCTTCTTTCTTCTCCTTCTGCTCTTTCAAAATCTGCACACACACCCAAAAAAAAGTTGCTCAAAACAAGGAACAAAAACACAAACGAGCAAACAAATCCGAATATTTTCTTCCCAAATCATAGCAGCATATACAGTGCGTGCAGCAAGAGAAAGAATCGGCCCTAGTTATAGTGGCATAAAAGCAGCAGCATAGCCGCTGCACATTATACATACTATCCTACCTACCCTACACCATCGTTACAGTACTATACATCCTCAGCATCACACCATCGTTACAGTGCCACCCTCAGCATCACACCATCGTTACAGTGCCATCCTCAGCATCACCCCATCGTTACAGTGCCATCCTCATCATCCCCACACCTCGTACAGGGGTTTGTCCACCGTTACAGTGCCATCCTCGACTCGCTCCCCTCTCAGCCGCTTGTTCTCCTCCAACTGGGCGTTGTGACACAAGGGGGGTGTGACAAAATAGGGAATGTGAAAAAATGGGGGGTGTGACAAAATGGGGGGTGTGGCGCAATGGGATGTGACACAATGGGGTTGTTACAGCTCCACTCGCTCTCCTCTCAGCCGCTTGTTCTCCTCCAACTGCACATCGTGACACAAGGGGGGTGTGACAAAATAGGGGGTCCGGTGCAACAGGAGGTGATACAGAGGGGCCGTGACACGACATGGGGTGAGATAGAATGGGGATGTGACAAAAAACGGGAGTGTGACAAGCTGGCGGGTGCAACAAAGGAGGGACAGAGAGGATGAGCGAGCGAGAGAGGGAGGAGGAGCGGCGAAGGAGGGGGAAGAGGAGGGGGAGGAGGAAAAGGGGGAGGGGGAGGTGGGGAGGTGAAAAAGAAACGAAGGGAATCAGATCATACAGAATCGAGAGCAGCAGCTAGTCATCAAGGCATCAAGGCACGGAGAAGGGTTGACGCATTGATTGTCACCACCAGCTAGAGCGCCTCAAACTGTGTCTAACTGAAGGGTAGACCAAAGAGTGGGTGTAATTCATATCAAAAAACACTGAGCCTATAGCGCTATTGAGAGAATACCGATCCAAGATAGGCTTTGCAATTTACTCACCTGCGTTTCGGATATGAAATTCATCTTCTCGGCGGTAACGGCGAAGTAGTCGTACGGCTTCTAGTAACAGATGTTCGGGAAGACGTAAAAGTTGTTCGCGAAGGTAACAGTTGTTTGCGAAATTAAACGCAGTGGTTGTCGCAGAAGAGCGAAAGAGCAAGCGTGGAACGTTTGCAAGCGACAAGCTCTGGAAACTTCTTCGTAGTGGCGCTGCCTGCACCAAATGCTCCGCAGGAATTTGTCAGTAGCGCCTGATGCGTTGCGAGCGTCACAACTGCTGGTCGAGAAACGCGCTGAGCGACTAGACGCTAGGGCGAGCTGCAATGGCCTTCAACGACAACTGAGCTGACGGGGAGAAGTCCAGGACACAGTGACGGAACTGAACTGAAGCCGCGCGTAGGAATCAGGAAACTAGGAAGCAGCTAGATTAGGCAGAGAGGTAGGAAATACCTGTGCTGAAGCTTGTTTTGTGCTGCGCCGCTACAGATACAAGCTTTATACTTTGGCTGACGTCTAAAACATGCAGATATTACAATCATGCGAGGTATATACACGGTTTTGTTGCATTAGAGTAATGGAGCTAAGTATGAGAACATCGTAAATGAAAAAAAAAAACCATTATTATATTAACCTTATTCTGGTTGCGCAGTGCTGGTTGGTTGAGCAAAGTACTTGGGCTTTTCTCAAAATATAATCCATCCAGCTTTATAATAAACCTATATTTCAAAACAAAGCACGGTGTATAGCAGAACACGGCTTGAACAAAACAGACAGAATTGATGATGAGTCTGCTTCTGCCGTTCTGCTTCGTTGATTTTCTTGCACGTGGTTACCTTGGACCTTGGATTTAAGCCGTATCTGATTGGCTCCAAACTGCTGACGTGACCTCGAATCTCCAAAAACCACGCTCTCCACGGGCGAATGAGTGCCAGGATAAGCAGAACATGTTTTGGGCAGCATCTCGTCGTCGGCCAATAGCAGCCGATTCTGCACAGCAGCTGACGTCGCAACTACGTAAGAATTCGTCGCATGCGTTTTCGTCAATCCACTCTGCAACCCCGTCACCCCCAGCGAAAGTCAACAGATTCTTCTCCTCTGTTGGTTACTGTTCACTCTTCGTGGACTCGCCAACTTGCTAACAACTCTGCCGACACTTTGGCGAACGCTTTCCGAAACATCTTTCTTTCGCAGCATCTCCTTCGGCCGCCATGATCTCAAAAGCTCTGAATACCACAGCAGAAAGCTTGAATAGCGCAATATATCTAGTTTGTTTGTTTCTTCCAGCAACTTTGCTCGCTAGCTTCCCTATCTAGCGCTTAGAATCGTCGCTTGTCCAACAAGCACCTGTTTCCCCGCTTTTCCAAGCTCTGACGAGTTTCTCGTTGTAACCAAAGTCGTACCGTAGTCAGGTTTCGGGTCAAAGCCATCCTGAAGGCGAGTTAGCGCGTAACTTCACACCAAAATGAGCATTATCAACGGACGAAACCGTGCGCTCGCGAGCTTGCGAAACCGTCTCCGAAGCGACCCGCGAAACTTTTCCGTCTGTTACCAGACCACCGTCCGTCCCCTCAACAATTCTCTCAGCACCTTGACGGATTCTGGTACTCATTTCTCCCCCGACGTTGCCACCAGCAAATCCATAAGTAGCAGTTATGCCGAAGAAAACGTTCTAACTCGTTCTCTAAGAGCCGCTTACGCTGCCTCCGTCTCCGCCTTCGGTTCTACAGGGTACCGCCGCAGTAACATTCCGAGTCAAACCTCGCGCCGCCCATATTCCACTTTCAATGGTCCTAATTATTCTACGAGCCGCGTTAACGATCACTTCTACTCTTACCACCAGCGTCGTAACTACTATAATAGTAGACATAGTACGGAGTATTATAGTAGGCACCGCGACCGACACCACGACCCGCAGGACCATTCCAATCATCCGCATCTCTACGCGCATTCCCCGCGCCCCCTGCACCGCGCGCCCGCGCTTCCGCGGAGCTTCCCCGCGTCCGCATTCGACCATCTGTCCGCCCCCGCCGTGGTTTGCGGGGGGCGAACTGTGTCGTACCGCGACCTGCTCGCGCACGCCGCCAGGCTCACGCGCGAGTTCCGGAAGCGCCTGCCACGTGTCGAGCCGAGGGCCCTCCACGTGGCAGAGCAGCGCGACGCGGAGCAGCAGGGGTTAGCGGAAGCGGAAGCACGGGCGGAGGAGCAGCAGCAGCAGCAAGGGTGGGCGGCGGATGTGGCGGAGGCTGCGGAGGCGGCGGAAGGTCCGCGGATTGCGATTTTTGGGCGGCCGGGGACGGACTATGTGGCGGCGATGTGGGCGGCGTGGGCGGCGGGCGGAGTGGCGGTCCCGCTGTGCGAAAGCTACCCTCCAGAGGAACTGCTATACGTCCTTAGAGACTCGGTGAGGGTTCTTGCTTGGTAATTTTGATGCATATTGAGACCTGGAGTGTACGTGGGGGTCGGGGGAGGTTGGGGGAAGGGTGGGGGGAGGGGTGGCGGGGAGGGTGTGAGGATGGAGCGGAGGTAGGAGGAGTGGCGGTTCCGCTGTGCGACAGCTGCCCTCCAGAGGAGCTGTTATACGTCCTTAAAGACTCGGTAAGGACACTATGGCGGTCCTTAGGCGTGCTGATACTGTGGAAGGATAGTGGCGGGTATAGTAGTGACAATTTTCCATCTCGTACATTCCGTCAATCCCCACTCATACGTCTCCCATCTGCCCTTCTGCCCATGTACCCATCCACCTTCCATCTCAGTAATCCCTCCCCAACCACTCCCACTTGCAATCCTCAACCCCCCTGCAATGCCCCCTACCTGCGCATTCCTCCCCCCCCGCTCCCCCCTCCTCCCTTCCCCCCACCCTTCCCCCTCTCCCCCCCCCCCCCATCCCGCTGATCTCAGGGCGCGTGTTCAGTCGTGGGCCCGGAGTCCAGCCGCCCCGGTATTGGCGGCTGCCTGATTTCGGGCCCTCTGATTGGCACTTTTCCCCACCTGCCACCCCACCTCTCAGGGCGCGTGTCTGGTTGTGGGCCCGGAGTCCAGCCGCTCAGTTTTGACAGCTGCTTCATACCGTACCCTCTCACTGGCACAATCCCCCACCTGCCGTCCCAATCATCTCAGGGCGCTTCTTTAGTTGTGGGGCCGGAGTCCAGCCGCACGGTTTTCGCGGCTGCTTGGTTTTGGGGCCTCCCAGAAAGTATACCACTCTCTCTCCTGCGCTTTAACTCCCCACCTGCCATCCATTCAATGATTGATTCCCTCAGGGCGCGTGTTTGGTTGTGGGGCCGGAGTCCAGCCGCCCAGTTTTGGCGCCTGCCTATTTCCGGGGTCTCCCAGACTGTATACAACTCTCACCTGCCACCCCACCTCTCAGGGTGCTTCTTTAGTTGTGGGGCCGGAGTCCAGCCGCCCGGTTTTGGCGCCGCTGGCGGCGGAAGTGGTGGCGGCGTTTGTCCCATCTGACCCGCTGGAGGGCAGAGAATTGGAGGAGAGGGACGTGGGGGAGGAGCGGGCGGGCATCGAAGCCATGAAGAACGTGCCCTTCTCGCACGCAGGTGGGGTGGTGTGTGGTGGTGTTGGGTGCTGTGGGGTGCTGTATGGTGCTGTCCGGATAGAGACAGTTTTGGCGCCGCTGGCGGCGGAAGTGGTGGCGGCGTTTGTCCCATCTGACCCGCTGGAGGGCAGAGAATTGGAGGAGAGGGACGCGGGGGAGGAGCGGGCGGGCATCGAAGCCATGAAGAACGTGCCCTTCTCGCACGCAGGTGGGGTGGTGTGTGGTGGTGTTGGGTGCTGTGGGGTGCTGTATGGTGCTGTCCGGATAGAGACAGTTTTGGCGCCGCTGGCGGCGGAAGTGGCGGTGGCGTTTGTCCCATCCGACCCGCTGGAGGGCAGAGAATTGGAGGAGAGGGACGCGGGGGAGGAGCGGGCGGGCATCGAAGCCATGAAGAACGTGCCCTTCTCGCACGCAGGTGGGGTGGTGTGTGGTGGTGTTGGGTGCTGTGGGGTGCTGTATGGTGCTGTCCGGATAGAGACAGTTTTGGCGGGCGGCGGAAGTGGTGGCGGCGTTTGTCCCATCTGACCCGCTGGAGGGCAGAAAATTGGAGGAGAGGGACGCGGGGGAGGAGCGGGCGGGCATCGAAGCCATGAAGAACGTGCCCTTCTCGCACGCAGGTGGGGTGGTGTGTGGTGGTGTTGGGTGCTGTGGGGTGCTGTATGGTGCTGTCCGGATAGAGACAGTTTTGGCGCCGCTGGCGGCGGAAGTGGCGGCGGCGTTTGTCCCATCCGACCCGCTGGAGGGCAGAGAATTGGAGGAGACGGACGCGGGGGAGGAGCGGGCGGGGATCGAAGCCATGAAGAACGTGCCTTTCTCGCACGCAGGTGGGGTGGTGTGGGTGCTATGGGGTGCTGTGGGATGCTGAGGGGTGGGGAGCTGTCCTGGTAGAGATATCTGGAGGAGAGAGACGCGGGGGAGGAGCGAAAGGGGACCGAAGCTTTGAAGAACGTGCCCTTCTCGCATGCAGCTCACTTGCTTGCTGGTCAGAAAGAGCCCAGATGGTTTCTGAGTCGACTCAAACCGTTTATATCATCCAATTTATAATCTTCCATATCAAAACTTTCAGTAACCATCGCATTTCCGTCCTGTATAACCCCCATCCCCGCTATCAGCTGCCCTGATAGTGTACACAAGCGGAACCACGGGTCGACCCAAAGGAGTGGTGCATTCACACATAGGGCTAGCGTCTCAGGTACAGTGACTTTTCAGTTACAATAGTTTCGCATACATGCTTGGTTGTTCTGGGTGAAATTTGCTTCGTGTAACACCAGTTCTCGGGTACAGGTGTGTTTTAGGTCGGACTGATTTGGACCTTTCTCCTTCGTTGGTCAATTCTTTTATCTCGGTTTTGGACACATCTCAAAGGCTACATTATTTCTCGCTCCTGACTTCAGCCATCCTCTACCATCGTCAATATGAACGTATCACCTTTAAGGATTCCCAGCAGTCATACAAGTGACCCTCTACCAGGTGTATTTTTGTGTACAGGATGTTACAAAAGTCATTTCTACTGGGTGTCTTTGCCACTTTTCCTTTCCCCCTCCCACCCGCAGGCGGGCATGCTGGTGGACGCGTGGGACTTCTCCCCTTCTGACCGAGTCCTCAACGTGTTGCCTCTGCACCATATCCGCCCACACGCACGCACCTACAACCCCTGCTACCCCTCCCCACCCCTCCCCACCCCAACCCACCCCTTCCTCCACCCACGCACCTTCCCATCCCGTCTTTCTCCTGCCATTCACCGCCTCCCTTGCCCGTGTCCTTTCTCCTGCCTCTTACTCCTCTATCCCCATCGTCATGTCTTTCCTTATTCTTGAATGTTCTTTCCTTGTTTTGAGTTGTCTTGTAAAGATGTTTGCCTTTATTGAACAGCAAGCATTGCAGCATTGTTCTTCCTTAACCGTCATCCCGCACCCCCTCGTCTCCTCTGCCCCCTCCCCCTTCCCTCTTCCTGCACACTCGCTATTCTTCACTCTCCTTTCCGTCACTCTCTTCTACCTCATCCCCCTTCCTCCTGCCTATTCTTCCTTCCTCCCCCTTCTTCTTCTTCCTCCATTGTCTCTATTTCCTCACAACCCTCCATGCGTACGTTGAAACGTGTAAATAACCTGCAACCCCTCCTTGTGTTCTGGCGATCTGTCACCCCGAGCACATGTGCATGGCATCATGAATGCGCTGCTCAGCCCTCTGTCTGCTGGCGCGACGGTGAGTGTCTCTGTGCTGCACCGCACCGCACCGCACTGCGCTGCATGCATGTGTGTGTATGTATGCTCTTGGTGCTGGTCAGGTGTGTTCTGGCCGGCGTCACCCCAAGCACATGTGCATGGCATCATGAATGCGCTGCTCAGCCCTCTCTCTGCTGGTGCAACGGTGAGTGTCTCTGTGCTGTACCGCACCGCACCGCACCGCACCGCACTGCTCTGCACCCATGTGTGTGTATGTATGCTCTTGGTGCTGCTCTGGTGTGTTCTGGCTGGCGTCACCCCAAGCACACATGCATGGCATCATGTATCCATATCTGCTCATGTGTCATGTCACCCCGAGCATGGCATCATGAAGGTGTTGCTCAGCCTTCTCTCTGCAGTTGCCACGGTAAGTGTGTGTGCTGTAATGCACTCCACCGCACTGCACCTATGTGTGTGTATGTATGCTCTTGGTGCTGCTCTGGTGTGTTCTGCTGGGAGTCACCCCGAGCACATGTGCATGGCATCGTGAATGCGCTGCTCAGCCCTCTCTCTGCTGGTGCCACGGTAAGTGCTTATTCGCGAATGGCGCCACGGTAGCATGAATGTTGCTGCTGATGATGCTGTGTGTCTATATACCGGCCTAGCCTCCCTTTCCTGCCCTTGGCTCCCATCCCACACAGGTCGAGTTCTTCCCAAGCCACCGTTTCAGCGCGACAGCAGTGTGGCAGCGCTGGCGGGAGAGAGGGGCGCATGTGTCACCGCATCACCGCTCTCCACCCCCTTGCACACACCTTCACGCCCCTTGCTCCCTATTACCACAGGTCGAGTTTCTCCCCAGCCACCGCTTCAGCGCAGCAGCAGTGTGGCAGCGGTGGAGGGAAAGGAGAGCAACCCGGATGAAAATGCTGTTGGCGTCACCTCTCTCCCTTCCGGCCTACAACCCCTCTTTCTAACTCCTTGCCCCCATCCCACACAGGTCGAGTTCCTCCCCAGCCACCTCTTCAGTGCAGCAGCGGTCTGGCAGCGGTGGAGAGGGAGAGGGGTGCATGTGTCACTGCATCACCGCTCACCACCGCTTCACGCCCCTTGCTCTCTATTCTCTCAGGTCGAGTTCCTCCCCAGCTATCGCTTCAGTGCAGCAGCGGTCTGGCACCGGTGGAGGGAAAGCTACCCCGACGGGCACTGTGCTCAGCCCGACTCGGTTACATTCTTCACTGGAGTGCCAACCCACTACATGCTCCCATGCCCCCCACAGGTCGAGTTTCTCCCAAGCCATCGCTTCAGCGCAGCAGCAGTGTGGCAGCGCTGTGGGAGAGAGGGGTGCATGTGTCATTGCGTCACCGCTCTCCACCGCTTCACACCCTTGCTCTCTGTTCTCTCAGGTCGAGTTCCTTCCAAGCCACCGCTTCAGCGCAGCAGCTGTGTGGCAGCGCTGGCGAGAAAGCTACCCCGATGGTCACTACGCACAGCCAGACTCCATTACCTTTTTCACCGGAGTACCAACCCACTACATGCGCCTGCTACAAGAATTCGACCGCATGCCCCTGCAGTTGCAGAGGAAGTCAGCTCTAGCCGCCAGCAAGCTGAGGCTCATGGTGAGTCGAGGATTTGGAGTGGAAAGTGGGCACAGGAAGGAAAACAGGAGGGCTGTTATGGGAATTTGGGGGATACTGGTGCAGCTGCAGAGGAAGTCAGCTCTAGCCGCCAGCAAGCTGCGGCTCATGGTGAGTCGGGAAGCAGGGTGGTGGAAGAGAGCAGTGAGGGCAGACAGCGGGCGAGAAGTGGGTCTTGGTCTATAGCTGCAGCTGCAGAGGAAATTAGCCCTTGCCGCCAGCAAGCTGAGGCTCATAGTGAGTCGGGGACTTTAATGAGCATTGGGACGTGATGTGGGAACGCGAACTGGGTAGAGAATCACAGTAAGCGTTGAGAATGCCGCTGCAAATGCAGTTGGAATTGCATTGGGTAAATCCGTCCATTCTGCAGAGAAAATTAGCTCCTGCCACCGTTAGTAGGCTGAGGTTCGTGGTGGGTTGAGGACTTGGGGTGTTGGGAGGGGGAACTAGCTACCATTACCACATCTTCTTTACCGGATCACCATTACCATAACCCTATTAGCATTTCCATTACCCTATTAGCATATCCATTACACTATTAGCGTTACCATTACCCTATTAGCATTAGCATTAGCATTACCATTACCATTATCATTACCATTACCATTACTCCATCACCATTACCATTACCAATACCATTACCATCGCCATTACCATTACCATTACCCCATCACCATTACCACTAACATTACCATTACCATTACCCTATCACCGTTACCATTACCCCATCACCATTACCATTACCATTACCATCACCATTACCATTACCATTACCATCACCATTACCATTACCATTACCATTACCATTATTTCATCACCATTATCATTACCATTACCATTACTCCATCACCATTACCATTACCATTACCATAACTCCATCGCTATTACCATTATCATTACCCCATCACCATTACCATTACCATTACCATCACCATTACCATTACCATTACCATCACCATTACCATTACCATTACCATTACCATTACCATTACCAATACCATTACCATCGCCATTACCATTACCATTACCCCATCACCATTACCACTAACATTACCATTACCATTACCTATCACCGTTACCATTACCATTACCATTACCATCACCATTACCATTACCTCATCACCATTGCCATTACCATTACCATTACCATCACCATTACCATTACCATTACCATTACCATCACCATTACCATTACCATTACCATTACCATCACCATTACCATTACCATTACCATTACCATCACCATTACCATTACCATTACCATTACCATCACCATTACCATTACCCCAATGCAACGTGCCCGGATGTGCTCATGCGGCGATGGCACCTAATCACAGGGCAGAAGCTCTCTTAGTGCCCACATCACTGCCTGCCAAACTCCTCCTCCTCCCTTCCCGTCCTTCCTTCCCCTCCTCCCCTCCCCACTTCTCCATCGCCATCAGATGTCCGGCAGTGCGGCATGCCCAGATGAGCTCATGCGGCGATGGCACCAGGTCACAGGGCAGAGGCTGCTGGAGCGATACGGAATGACAGAGGTGGGGTAGTGTTTTTGCGTATCTGGCGTTAATTGCGTTTATTGACTTTCCAGCATTTCTGGCACTTATTGCATTTACTGGCATTTCTGGCATTTCTGGTTATTGTTCCATTTGTTCTTCCATTGGTGCCTCTGTCCTTACCTTCTCCTCTTGCTCCTCTTGTCTCCTTTCATCCCACTGCTCTCCACTGCTCTCCACCGCTCTCCACCGCTCTCCACCGCTCTCCGCTGCTATCTACCGCTCTCCTTCCCATTGTTCCATGCATGCAGTTCGCCATGGCCCTCACCAACCCTCTGCTCGGGGAGAAGAAGTCAGGCTCAGTGGGCGTGCCACTGAGAGGGGTGAAGGTGAAACTAGCAGAGAGAGTATGCTCTAAGTATCCTCTCCCTTGCTCCCCTCCTCTCTTCGCCTCTCCTATCTCTGCAGTTTGCAATGGCACTCACCAATCCGCTGCTGGGAGAGAAGAAGTCAGGCTCAGTGGGCGTGCCTCTGAGAGGGGTGAAGGTGAAACTAGCAGACACTGCAAAGGACCGGCACAGCACTGCCAACGCGAGTAAAACCAGCACTAACAGCAGCAGCGGCAACAGTAGCAGCACTGGCAGTGCAAGGGCCCTGCTAGGTCACTTATCTGCTCCTGGGGCCTTCAGCAGCAGCAGCAGCAGCAGCAGCAGCGCCGACAGCAGCAGCGGCACGTGGGGTGGGGGCTGGGGAGAGCTACTGGTGAAGAGTCATGGCATGTTCCTGCGATACTGGAACCGACCTCAGGTGGGTTGAGCTGAATGCATGGTGTGAGTGGTGGCACTGGTGTGTTGAGATGAGTAGCAGTGCCAGCAATAGGAGTGCCAGCAACAGCAGTGCTGACAGCAGCGGCACGTGGGGTGGGGGCTGGGGAGAGCTACTGGTGAAGAGTCCTGGCATGTTCCTGCGATACTGGAATCGACCCCAGGTGGGTTGAATAGCAGCTAGCAGCGGTGGTGCATTGAGTGCATAAGGCGACAGTGGTGGCATGAGTGCATGAGGAAGGGAGCAGCAGCTGCAGCACATAGTGTGGGGATGGGGCGACTTACTGGTGAAGAGCCATGGCATGTTTTTGCGCTACTGGAACCGACCCAAGGTGCCTTGAGCTGAAACCTTAGTCTATTGGTTCCGCATTGCCGCTCATCCCCCCCCATCCTTTACCCTGCTCATTCCCTTCCGTTCCTAATCATTCCCACGCATCCCCTCTTATTCCCGCTCATTGCCTCACAGGAAACAGCAGAGGCGTTTGACTCGCAGGGGTGGTTTCGGACGGGCGATATTGCATCTGTGGACAGTCATGGGTACTGGCAGATTCACGGCAGTGAGTGCTATTTGCCATGTGTGTGTGTGTGTAGTATGTATGTATGTGTGCAGAGTGTATATGTGAGTGGATGATTACACCTATGCATCTGTGATATTGCATCGGTGGACAGTCATGGGTACTGGCAGATCCACGGCAGTGAGTACTATTGTCTGGGATGTGTGCTGTATGGGTGTGTGCTTCATAGGAAGTGTTTTGCTGCACATGTGTACATGTGTACATGTGTGCTACCGTGAATGTGCCGTGTGCATGCCTGGACGGACGAATTTCCTCTCTCAAAGCGTTACTTAATCCCCCTGGGCTGAATAAGAACCTAAGTCATATTACCCTCTCCCCTCCCCCGCTCTCTTTGTAGGGGCAAGTGAGGACACTATCAAAGCGCGGGGCTTTAACTTTTCGCTTCCCTCTCTTCATCCCCATCCTCCTCCCTCCCCTCCTCCCTTCTTTTCCGCTCTTTCCTCTCCCAGGGGCGAGTGTTGACATAATCAAGACGCGGGGCTTTAAGGTTTCTGCACTTGAGATTGAATCGAAGCTGCTGGAGGTAAGGTCATAGTGAAGGGGTGATGAGCGGCAATGAGCGGTGATGATAGTTTTTTTCATGGTTGGTGATGAGGCCTGATGGGACCAGTGTGGACGAAATCAAGACAAGCAGCTACACGGTTGAGTGTGGTTCAGTGCGGTCGCCAGCCAATCAAGGGGGGAAACTGGCTTCAATAATTTCTGATAGGTTCTCTTTGTTTCTTCCTCCCTCACTCCCTCTTGTTCACCCTCCCAGCATCCCCTGATTTCAGAGGTCTTAGGAGTGCCGGACAGGCAGCAGGGAGAGGTAGTGGCGGCAGTGGGGAGTAGGAGGGGGCAGCGGCTTATAGATTACTCGAAGGTTCTCTTTGTCCCTTCCTCCCTCCCTCTCCTCCCAGCATCCGCTCATATCCGAGGCAGCAGTGCTGGGAGTGCCGGACAGGCAGCAGGGAGAGGTAGTGGCGGCAGTGGTGGTGCTGGGAGCAACACCGCAGCAGAAACACCAGCAGGGGCAGCAGCAGGGCGTTACCAGGGGAGGTGTTTCTGGCACCAGCGAGGCTGCACTTGGGGAGCATACTGCCATTACTCTTGATGAGCTGAGGAAATGGGCAGCCCCCCGCATGGCTCATTACAAGGTGCGTGCGGGTGTTGTGTATTGCATGCCTCGTTATAAGGCAGCATAATGATCAATTTTGTGAGCATCTCGTGGTCGCCCTTTACGAGCTGAGGAAATGGGCAACCACCCGCGTGGCCCACTATAAGGTGTGTGCTGCTGTGCTGCTGTGCTGCTGTGCTGCTGTGCTGCTGTGCTGCTGTGCTGCTGTGCTGCTGTGCTGCTGTGCTGCTGTGCTGCTGTGCTGCTGTGCTGCTGTGCTGCTGTGCTGCTGTGCTGCTGTGCTGGAGTCAAGTACTGTGTGCCTCATTATAAGGGAGTGTCTGATGCTGCAACTGGCGAACATGCTGCCATCACTCTGGACGAGCTGAGAAAACGGGCTTCCCCCCTCATGGCCCATAAGGTGCGTGCTGGTGCCATGCCATGCCATGCCATGCCATGCCAGGCCATGCCATGCCATGCCATGCCATGTATCATGGCCTTCCATGCATGGCTCATTACAAGGTGCGTACTGCTGCCATAACATGCCATGCCACGCCACGCCAAGACAGGCACTCTACAACGATGCATGGCTCATTACATGGCTATGCCCCGCCATGCCGCGCCATGCCGCGCCATGCCGCGCCGCGCTATGCCAACGATTGTGATGCCATGCACCCCTTTCCCTTCTGTCTTCCCTTCGTTGACCAGGTGCCATCTCGCCTGAGAGCTGTTTCCACCATGCCACGCAACATCATCACGTGCCATGCCACGCAACATCATCACGTGCCATGCCACGCAACATCATCACGTGCCATGCCACGCAACATCATCACGTGCCATGCCACGCAACATCATCACGTGCCATGCCACGCCATACCAAGGCCTGTAATGCCATGCACCATTTCCCCTCCCCCACCGTTACTGACCAGGTGCCATCGCGCCTGAGAGTGGTTGTCACGATGCCACGCAACACCGTGGCACGCCTTGCCATGCCATGCATCTACCATGTCTCCCCTTCATAATGGCCATGTGCCAACCCCCCCTGCCCTTCCCTCGTAAGCAGGTGCCATCGCGCCTGAGAGTGGTTGCCAGCATGCCACGCAATGCCATGGCACGCCATGCCATGCATCTACCATACCATGTCTCCCCTTCATACTGACCATGTGCCACCTCCCCCTACCCCCCCCGTTACTGACCAGGTGCCATCTCGCCTGAGGGTGGTTGCCACAATGCCACGCAATGCCATGGGGAAGGTGAGACAGCGACAGGAGCATGACAAGCATTTTGAACCACCATCACATGCAACATGCGATGCCATCACATGCAACATGCACAATCCACTACTCACTATGCACCATTCACCATGCCACGCAACGCCATGGGGAAGGTGAGACAGCAACAGGAGCATCACATTCAACGTGCACCATCCACCACTCGCTATGCACCTTCCACATGCCATGCCACACAATGTCGCTATGCACCTTCAGGAGCATGACAAACCACATGAAATGCAACATCTTAGCGTCACCACCTATTGCATGCCCATCTATCGTTTTCTGGCCTAGCAGGTGAACAAGAAGGATATCCTGAAGAACCTCTTTGCCCCTATGCAGCAGTCATGACTCCCTTGACTTGCTTACATTAGTGCAGCATTGCATCACAAAATCCGTCTCCTCACATTGCACATCCGTCCCTCATCCCCCTCGTCTCTGGTGTGGCTGGCAGGTGAACAAGAAGGATATCCTGAAGAGCCTCTTTGCCCCTATGCAGCAGTCATGACTCACATGACTCATTGCATATTAACAATGCTTTGTTTACAGTTTTCTTATGCGTGTCTCTTTCCCTCTCTGTAGACAACGGATTGTACTGACTCACGAATGTAAAGAAGTGGACTGTGAAGTGCAATGTTTCGCGTTTTCAATCAGAGTCTCTACATTATGGTGCGTTGTGCTACAGGCCGCCATCCAAAAGCATAATCATATTTGCTTATGACAGGAAAGTTACAACATCACTGTACAGTATGACATTCTACGCATCAGCACTTGGCAGGTTTCAGCAGCAGCAGCAGAGGCAGTGGCAGCAGCACAAGCGAGGCGAGGGTGCGTCCACCCAGAAACCATCGGTTGAGCCGACCAACCCCCTCCTGGCCCGACATGCTTCTCCTAAACCCCTTGCCATGCTTCAATGCGGCACCACAATTGCTCTTGCTACAGAAGCACTCAGCAGGTTTCGGCAGCAGCAGTGGTGGCAGTGGCAGTAGCAGCAGCCATGTTGAAAGAGCGTCCACCCAGAAACCACTGGTTGAACCTACCAACCCCTCCTGACATGCTCCTTTTGACCCTCATACCATGCTTCTGTGCTGGACCCTTCCCACCTGCTCCTAAAGCATTTCCAGATGCATCAGAAGCAGAAGCAGAAGCAGAAGCGACAGCACCAATAGTGGCACATTCGCTAGCACCAGTGGTAGATGTGTGACTGCTGGCAGGAGTGACTTGAGTGGCGCAACTGCCACTTTTGGCGGCCTTTCCAGTTCTGTCACATTTTTCTTTTTTGGCAAATGTGTCAGCAGCAGAAGCAACGGCACTGGATCCATAGAGGGAAGGCGGAAGGTAAGTGTCGGAGTGCTGTTTCTTAAGGAACCGAGGTTGGGACTGCTGTGGTTGTGCAGTAAACGAGGATGCGAGGGTGTCTAGTGATGCTCTGCGAGGGTTGGAGTAGCAGAGAACCGCCATCTGCACGGTGAAGATGGGTACAGAGGAGTTTATACCAATTTGTATGCGCCTCAGATATAAACAGCGATTCATGAGAGGCATGTAGCATTTCAGAGGAATAGAAAGAAATTATAAGCACATTAAACCTATGAGTCCTCACCTCGATGCTCAAGGCGCTATCTTCTTCCCACGTGGAATCCTCCACGGCTGTAGCAGCAGTTGCTACATCCGAGCACGTCTGTAGCAGCGGCAGGGGGGAGAAGCAGTCCTGCTGCGGCCAGACTGCATTCTCGTCCAGGCGAAGGCTGTAGTGGCCACTGTTCAAACCGGTGGTATTCTCGTCCACCCGAAGGCTGTAGCGCCCACTGCTACAGCCATTGGTGTCGCTCCCCCAGTCCTGCTCTGTTGCACTGCTGCAGTAGATGTTGCCACTGATTCTGCCCTGGCCTATCCCAATGGTTCCGTTGCTACTGCTGCTGCTTCTGCCACTGATACCGTTGCTGCTGCTGCTGCTGCTGCTGATAGTCACCCCAGGGGCTGTGGCCGCTGCTGCCGTCCCGTCTGTGGTTCGTCCCATCCCGTCCCGTCCCGTCCGTGCTTGTATGGCGGCGATAAATCCGATTCGTCCCTTGAAACGGCGTCTCGATCTGCGCCGATTCTTGAGGTGCATAAAGACCGCTCCAGTCAACAGAAGCAGCACCACCAGCAGCACCGATTGCTGTGCTACTACGGGTGCGGTGAAGCATCATGCCCCCTGGAGGCGGCGTTTCCAACAGTTGAGTGGGTCGTTCTGCCCTCTCGTTCAAGCTCCACTCTGCACCGACAGCAGCAGCAACCGCCGCAGAAGCAGCAACACCGACAGCAGCAGCAGAACCGCCACCGGCGCCCGCACCAGCAGCAGGAACACCGAGCACGGTGCTACTATGGCTACGATGGAGTGTGGCTCGAGGCGGCGCTTCCAGCATCCGACCCGTCCATTCCGCGACTCGGTTCGCGGAAGATTCGAAGCCCGTATGATCCCTCTCCTGAGGCTTCTCCGGCCCGAAAATCCGCTCGATTCCGACGTCAGCACGTGACGTGTCCGATTCCGCCTCAGATTTGAGCCAAGCCGCGACGCGTTCAGTCGTTCGCGAGTTACCGCCGCCGCCCGCGGCGAAAATTCGGTCTTCGCAGTTTTTTTCGCAAGCGAACGCGGAGCTGCTGCGGCGCAGCGCGGGGCCACGCGGGAACGTCCAGCTGGCATCATCGTGCGGATTAGACGAGTCACTGGAGTTTTCCGCAACGCGACGACGATCAGTCGACGAAAGTAACCCGTTGTCGCGATCGTGGTTTCGAAGCGCCTCGGAGGAAAAGTACGATTCTTGAGGCGCCTCGCTGGAAATAACACCCGCGCCGCCGGAGCTGCCAGCAATAAGATAGTAGGTCTTGGCCGGAACGAGGATCGAATCTGGGGATACGGTGGAGAGCGGTGGAGAGGGCCGCGCCGCGGGGTCTGACGCCGCGGAATGCGGTGGATTGGTGGAGAGGAGATGGTTGGGGAAGTCCGCAAGGACGCGGCGCGCGGAAATTTCGGCGGAAATGGCGCCATTGGAGCCCAAATCGCACTCCGACGGAGTTCCGTTGGGAAGGAATAGACGGAGGGAGCCGTCGGGCAGGACGACGATGACGGAACGGTTTCCGTCCATGAGCGGCCGCGGACGTCGAGACGGGTAATCAAGAGTGTCAACGGAGATAATGGAGTCCCACAAATTCGAAACGGAAATCAAGGGGCGGTTAAGGAAGCTAGGAGCGACGCGGCTCGAAAGAATCTCACTATTAGCAACAGCCAGAGCTAGGCGTCACGGCTGTTCGCGCGGCGAACACGATCTTCTAAAAATCAGTTCAGAAATAGTAACTTGCGACTTAGTAGCGACCTTCGAAACGTCGACGCGAGGAGATGCAGGCGGATTCGTCACGTAGAGGCGCCAAAAATCGCGGAGCGAGACAATGAAGGTGGAGTGGAGAGCAAGAGATATCTCAGATATGTAGGCTGCTTCTACGTGCCACGTAAAGTGGAGCATCAAGTGGCATGAAGGTCAGGAGCGAGGACTACGGGTCGAGTCGGGTGCTACTTGTGTCGACGTTACGAAACACCCCTGACTCGGCTCACGATACTGTCACAGCACGTTGGTCGTGTGAACGAGGACCTGGGCCTCTCGACTCGACGAAACGTCGAAGCAAACGCGGCGGGCGCGGAGCGGCATCTGCGGAAGGACGGCGGCTCTCACTGGTTCGTCAGGTCACTATAGTACAACGTTCGCAAACGGAGGGCTGTGCTCGAGTGCAGTGCAGGTCACGCATAGATGGACGCCTTGGAGGGACGGTTGAACTGAGCTGCTGCCTTTGTGCGCATTTGTATCGGGGGGCCGTGCAGTGGACGCCAGAGAGACTTGACTTGACGCACAGACTTGAATGCACGGAGAATGAAAGCGCTCTGGCAGGCAGATTGCATTGATGGCATGGCATGGCAAGGCACTGGACTGGACCGGAGCTCGAGCTTCAGGTGTTGGTCGGAAGACGAAAGGTTAGGCAGCCATGGTGTTGGTCGAGGAGACGACAGTGATCTCGGACTTGACATTGGAGTTCCTGTTTCTCAACGTTGGTCGTGGTGTCTGTGTGTGACTTGAGAGTCGAGGCGTGGGTTGTTGTGCGGTGACGTGCGTGGAAGATGGGATCATTCGAGATGACGGATGGAAGGGGAGAGAGGGAGGGAGCTTGCGTCTTCAATCCATGCCATTGCAACGTGCTTTATCTGACTGGGCATTGGGCAGTCTCCATTTACTGTGCAATATCAGCCATGTGTGAAGTTACGGGGCGCTTCCAAATTTATCACCAAGTGCGACGCGTGCGAGTTGTGGATGGATGACCCAGCTGACGCGCACGTCGTGCGATCTGACGCGCTGACCCTTCAGGGAAGCTAGGGGCGAGCGTCCCAGGAAACGATTGGATTACAAAACACCCAATCACAAAGAAAAGGACAGGCGTTTCGGTGGATTGGTCAAATTCCCCTTTCCGGACAGTCTCCCTCCACCAATTTGCCCCTGTAATTGTGAGGGGAAACCATAATGTGAGAAGAAAAGGGTAAGTCAATTGATTTGTTCGTAGTGTCGGTGTCGGTGCACTCATCATGAATGAAATATGAACAGTTTCACGTAGAATCGACATCGAAGCGCGGCAGATTTGACATCGAGCCGCGGAATTTTCGAGGTGCGGTGCTCGTTCATAAATTTGAGGCACATTGAATGCATGTGGGCAAGGAGACCAGTCAAGAAGAAAGAATCCGTAGTTGAGATAAAAGAACGGTGTAGTCACATGTGGAGATTGTCCCTACAAAACAAAATCACATAATAAACTCTCCTTGTAGCACAGTACTCGGATACGGTAGTAAACAATAAAGTACGAATGCCACCGGCATATTTAGATGACATGCCACCTTTTCAGACGCCCATCGCATTCTACTTATGGCGACCCTGTTAAACCGCATTGAAGCAACAATCACACTGATTGCAATATGGCGAAAGTCGGGAACAACCCTGTAGTCACAAAAGACTTCACTTCACTTTGATTTAGATTGTGCCTGCCATATGGAAAACCTGCATCTACAATGGAAGGTACTGACTCAACTGGTCGAAGCCCTATCCCCCCCTCCCACATTCCTAGCCCTCCTCCCAATCGCTCTTCCATGCCCATCCATCACAGCGCCCTCCTCTCCCGCCCCACCCGCCCCTCCCACCCCTCCTCCCCCCCACATCCCCCCTCCCCCTCCTCTCCCCACTCCACCCCCCACACTCGGCTCAAATAACCCCGAAGCCCCTTCAAGCTTCACCCCTCTCGTCTCCCGCATGCACGAATGCAGAAACGGAACCGCAGCCGCCGACAGCACCGCAAACACAAAGAAGGGAAACCCGGGGCTCGTCGCGTCAACCAGGCTCAGGAAAGATGAGGAAAGAGCCGCCGCAACCAGCCTACTGACTGCCACAGCAAGACCCGTCCCTTGGGCTCGCAACCGGAGGGGGAGGATCTCCGGAG